AAAAGTACCTTCCCAGTGGCGCCCCCCAACTCCAACCACCTGCCCTGTAGGGGGAGAGAAAAGAGCGATACATGTTTCAATCGGTAATTAATTCTATAGAGGGAAGAAGGAGCAAACTACACAAGGGAAACCGCCAGCCACCCAACACCCATTCGCCATTCAACAAAATCGAGTCGAATCTGTCTAAGACGGTCGCCTATTGTCACGGAGAAAAGTGGCCGTATTATTAAGATGAAGGGTAAGAGCTTTAGCACATTTCATCAATATATAAATATGCAAAAATACTTAAGGGTGGTGGAAATGGGAAGTGGCCCTTTGTACAGGTGATTGTCTTATACTACTGTGGCAGTTATAATTGTAAATACATACTTATTATCATTTTAATTTACTTTTGGCGTTTACAAGGTTCTGTGGTAGCGCTCCTACAGATATAATCCTCGATGAATACCTACCCTGTGATTCATCAATCGGCCGGGTCAGGCCATCGATTCCCAATAAGCCGTGTGCACACCAGATAGGAAAACACTGGCGACGAAAACGGCAACATCGCTGAGCCGGATGTAAGCTTTTGGAGATAAGTCGACCATGTTATTTCTGACTAGTCAGCGCGATGCAACACGTATCGCCCGAAACAGAATTGAATTTTATAATGTGGTTAGTAATCAAAATCATCATCATCATCTTAATAATAATACTGTTGATAACGATGATGATTGTAAAAAATAACGGTTCGTCCATCAATGTCTGACGATGAGGGTTTTATACATTGTAATCCTAAAGGAGCATCTATAGATCATTAGATGAACAGAAGGAATTTAGAAGAAAGAGGATTTGCGGCTTCTGCAATGGCCAGTGGGATCAGCTCTGGCAGAGCAGCGTTTGCCACTTTTGAGCTTTTAAAAGTTGATGAAAGCTTCATTTCCACTTTATGGTGTGTACATGATAGCTTGTGGGTTTCTCTATTGCTTCAGCATTTTGTTATAAAATTAGTGAAACCTTATGGGTGATGTTATTTTTATGATTTACTGCCCTTTTTCAACAAGGTCTGTCAGGAGCTTGGCTTTCCCAACGTCAAGGGCATAATGTTGAAGTCATTCGGAGAAATTTTCAGGATGTCTCTATAACGCTTTTCTATATCATTTTTTAATGCGCAAACTTAACGCTACCCTGAGGGCAGCTCAGAATTAGATACTGTCTTTGGGGTTTTGAAACTAGGCATTCTTACGACATTGCTAAATCAGAGAGTTCGAGCCCTTTTTAGCCTCAGAAAACGGATTTTCGGCATTTGCTCATTTGAGAACTTCGGTGTCTAGTACTTGTATTTTTGTTTGAGTAAAGATGTAGGAAGCGTTTTACGGCACTTGCAATACAATAAGGTCATGTAAGTGCCGAAGATTAGGTGTTACAAGAGAAGAAAGTAACAAACACAAAAAGGAGGAGAGATTAACTTAAGGCTAAGGACGATATATGTTTGATACATGTAGAAAAGAAGGAGCAAACCACACCAGAGCACCCGCCACCTACCCACTTTGAGTAAAGAGATACACTTTGACATAACAAGGGTCACTTACTATGTGGAAACAGTAAGGCAGACAACAGAGACAGCGATAATTTAGTTTCGGAGAATCACAGCGACAGAAAAATCGCCACCAGTACCAGGAAAACGTCCCAATTCAAACGTTAAGTCGGGGAAGACCTCGTGGTCCTGCTGTATGGATGTGAGACATGGAACGCATCACAGACTTGCATAAAGAGGATCCAGGTTTTCTTGAACAGGTGTCTAAGAAAGTTACTGAGGATCAGATGGACAGACAGGGTCACCAATGTGGAAGTGTTAAGGAAAACAAGACAGATCCCAGTCAGAGATGAGGTAGGAAGAAGGCGGTGGCGATGGATTGGACACACTCTCAGGAAGTCAGGCAGCTGCATAACAAAGAAAGTTTTGGATTGGAACCCACAGGGAAAGAGATCAAGGGGAATACCTCGTGGAACCTAGAGAAGAAGCACAGAAATCGATGTACAGAAAAGGGGGAAGACATGGAATAACAACAAGAGGCTAGCCCAGGATAGAGAAAGGTGGAAGGTGTTTGTCCGTGGCCTATACCCTGGTGCAGGGTGAGAAAGGCAATAACGATGATGATGACTAGGAAAACGTAAGACAACAGAAACAAAAGAGAGAAAGAAAAGAAGGACCAACCAAATGCACATTCCAACCAACAGCCAGCAGAGAGGGAAAGAAAAGATGAAGGGTAGGGCCTGTAACAGTAACAGTAAAAAGTGGCAATGCCCATCCACCTGCTTTAGACTCTGACTTGGAGTACAAGCTTTTGTTAGTTCTTTTCTTTTTTTCTTTTTAAAATGTAGGCGCTTGTTTGTACGCCCCTACGTACACAATTTAGATTATTTCAGAGCAGCTTCAACTTAACCCTGCCAGTCAGGGGGCCAACCCAGGCTGACAGGGATACAACATCCTATCAGAAAGCCCAAGTTCTCAATAAAAACTCTCCCCACTTGGGAATCAAACTCGAGTGTCCTGTGTGCGACAGTGAAGTACCTAACTGCTACCCCACAGACATATTTTGTGAAATGAGCTAACAAAATGAGTTACCTCTCGGATTCAAGCTTTATGGAAATATATTCTTCATGCTTACAGGTGGAGTTTTTACAATTTTTAAGTATGAAATAATAAAAGGCATGTTATTCTTAAAGAATATGGCATTAACAGAAAATCTGCAAATTCGACCCTTCTGTCGATTTTTGGCCAGTACCTCCATTTCTGGATCGATGGATTGAGAGAAGTAACTCGTTTTCTCAGCACACCTTACACTAGTCTTTACAGAGTGAGGATAAAACATTCTTCTTGCAACAGTAATGACATAGACACATACACTATATTAAAAAAATAATATACAAATTACAAAAATAAAACAAATAAAAAGAAACTCGAACTACAGAGCAGAATACAAACCGAACAAACAAAAAGGCTGAGCTTTTTCCAAAGTTTTTTTTTTTCAACCATATTTATGTAGCTCAAAACAGAATCAAATATGAATGAACATGAAGAAGACAATGAGCAGACGAGGAAGATGAAGCCATACACACTCGTTTCTTTTCTTTTTTTTTGTTTTTTTGTTCCTTCTTTCTCTCCGTTCTGAGCAGCACTAACCAACACAGACACACAAGCCTTGGGCGGGATGATGGCCCAGGCTACAGCACAGCACACAACTACTACGGCAACCACACTGAGGAAACTTCTCCATGGTGATTCTGTTTGACTGTCGGAGGGAAACTCGTATCCGAAATGAGTAAAAGAAGAGAAGATGGGGGAGGGGGGGTGTATTAGGTATTGAACTGTGACTATACCAGTTTAATGTATATATGTGTGTGTTTGACTTCTTTTATTACACTTAGGTCAAGTGTGTGTGTGTGTGTGTGTGTGTGTGTGTGTGTGTGTGTGTGTGTGTGTGTTTGTCTGTATCTGAGTGAGTGAATGAAACTGACAAAGGTCAAGCTAAGTTGTGTTTACTTTCAAAGGTCTATTTCTTCGGTACATCTGACCACTTCATTCGGACACAACATCGATGAACAAACCTACAGAGGACAAAATAAAGCATTATCTCATCCTCTCAGGCATGGGTAAATGAATTTGATGATAACGACTGTGAATGACGATGATGATGATGATGATGATAATGACCATGATGACGATGATGATGATGATGAAAATGACAATGAAGATGATGACAAGTGATGGACGTGATATGACAAGGCCAAAACGCGTCTGTTCACAACGTGTTCTAGCAAAACAAATAATCCAAAACAAACCAAAAATAAGTTTCAATACAACCATACCAAGATTAACATAAAGAAAGGAAACGAAAAAAAATAAAAAAATTAGAAAAGCAAAGAACAGATATAATATCTGAGAAGACCAGTGGCTAACGGACATTCACCGAGGACCACTCGGTGGAAAAAAAAACCATACAAACAGCCTATCCTGACCCCACTGGGTTCTTTGCCACCAAATAGCTTCTCAGTCCATTTCTCAAAAGAGTAATTTTTTAAAAAGCCTTTTTAAGCCCCGTCCGACACAATAAAGGTCATTTAGGGAGCAGGCTGCTTCAACCCTCGCCTGTCAGGGCAAGCCTGCGCAGATAGGGATATATACAACAAGATCCCCGCAGACAGGAACCAAAAAAAAAAAAAATGTCCCCACTCAGGAATCAAACCCATGTCTTTTTATGCACGCAACAACAAAGGCCATTAATACTTCACTGCAGTCCTTTGGACTTAGATACAGTTTCAGAAAATGCGGCACATTTCACGTTGGCACACTCTCCTTCTCTTTTTTTCTCTCCTCAACCAGGAAACAATAAGTGTGCAAGTGCAGTGATTTGTTGATGTGTCCACAGACAAACTTTTGGTATATTATTACGGTGCATGACAGAATTGACCACTGAACTCATCGTCTCCACTGCAAGTATGAATCAGAGCAAAAAGAGAAGCCAATGTTGTTTTGCGCTCGTTTCACGCATATGTTTTAAAAGCTCCATACTAAACCATACTAAACCTACACAGTGTCGGAGCAAACACCCCCACCCCTCCCCCCCCTCAAAACAATGAAGGAAGAGAGTCTCTTTTTCCATTACAACCTGGCTTTACAGCAAAACATCAAAAACTTTGGCTGCGTCGAGAAAAACTAACCAGTTGATTTTTTCTCCTCAGAAACAACCAGGACAGCCCTGAAAAGAAATGAAATGCCATCAAACCAATGGCCTTGGAGCTAAACGGAAACCTATCTATGAATTCACACACATACGCACACAAACACACAAGAAGATGATTTTAGTGGAATCTGTGTATATTGTTCTCGATAACAATTCTGAAAACAACAATAAACATGGGAACATTGATGAAAACTGCACCAACGAAACATTTACAGAACGAACGGATAACTATCTTGAGTGGTCCTTGGCTATAAAGCTCACACCTGCACATTTACTTTACGAAAAGCCACTTATTGATTCCGCGGGAGGACTGAGGCAAGCTGTCAGCCACAGACAATAGAAGGACAAGTTCCCGTGATGCCTGACAACACCAAATGGTTTACAGCACAGTTTTAAAAAACAAACCCAGGCCTAGACAAGGGTCTCCACAAACAGAAAAAAACAACAACAAGAAAACCCCAAAGCTGCCAAGAGCGAGCATACAATCAAACACACCAGAAACATACAACTACAACCTCTCACAAAGGGTGAAAAAACTGCTGCAAAAAGGAGGAGGGGGGTGGGGGTGGGGGGGGTGGAGGGCTTTTGTTTCAAAGAAATATCTTAGCAACATTTAGTCTTCCAAAATGGAGCTACCAAAGATTCCAGAAAAAACCTACCCTAGCCAAACAGGAGCGAAAGTCTGTGACTATGAGATCATGATCCTGTTGGCTTCTTCAATATCAAAACCAAAGAGAGCTACATGACTAGGGCAGAAAAATCTGTTGCTATTTTCACAATCTTTAAATACTCGGCCCAGAAACTTTTACAACACACACCAAATATTTCCTTATTGATAGATTGTAATTCCCACAAACGTAAAACATCTAGCTTAAAGAATGAGTTTCATAGTAGATTCTCTATAGTTAATAAAATGGGACACTCTTAGTCCCTCTTTCTGACATACTGCACAATACAATGCTAAGAAAAGAGGAACCAGAAAACAGACCAAGGTTATAAAAAGTGGGAAGGAGGGGAATGTAACAGACACTAACGAGGGGTAGGCAAACAAAGGAGAAACAAAACTTTAATAAGAGATCAAATTTAAATGAGAGATGTGGTCTGCAACGTAATCTCCAACTCCTAAAAACATGATGGGGCACTGGCATTGTATAGCTTCGAAACCAAAAATCTTGCTCGATACACAAGTATCCAATAAAATTTCCGCCAGCGGCATAAGACACAGAAAATTTGTGGCAAAGGGCTGGAAACTGTACGCAATGCTGATGATAACAAGCCAGCTTGAAATAAATCCTACAATTGATTCACAAAAAAACACAAAAGTAAAGAAAAGCAGTCAAAAGTAGAAATAACACTCACAAGCTGAGACAACAATGTGCTTGAAATACGCAGCACTAGGGAAACCAAACAAAACCCAAACAGGAGAGGACTGGAGAGAGAAAAAAAAATTGCGGAACCAAAGATACAGGGATCAATCACACTGAATAGGTTTACAAACAATCAGTTGTGCAACTGTCCAAAACAATACATGTAGTCAGTCCCCTTCTCTGAGACGAGTAATCTAGTAGCTACCAAGATCACGACTCTTTACACAACAGACAAATAATCACACACCACAGTGTCTTCACACCATATTATATTTCAAACCCACAACAAAAATCCAACGTCTACAGCAGAAGTCAAAATTTTAAAAATTCAACTCAACAAGGGCAGCTTTTGGTACAACTTAACTTCTACCCCAGCTTGAGCCACTATTTGGAAACTAGTGCCCATGGATAACAACACACCCAACTAAACAACATCGACACAAATTCAGTCAGTATCTCTTTGCCCTCACACCAATCATTCTAGAAGACTACCAATAAACATTTATCTCTGCAAGTTTTTGGCAACAAAAACATATACTATTACCGATCCAAAATGTTCAAAGCCCTCGCAACAACGGCTCCGACGGGTCACAGGACAAAACCCCTAGAAACGAATCAACCAATAACATTTTCAGCCTCACTGGTGCACCAAAATATTTCATGATTGAGTGCTCACTCATGTCTTTATTATTTTCTAGATATCGCTGCTACCCCCCCCCTCCCCCTTTCAAGCTTTCATTCTAAACCAATCCCTGATGCAAACCAAACAATCTTACAACTCAACTAAACTACTTTAAACAATGACAACCATACCTCTACTTTCAAAGCAACAAACACTTTGAAACAACATTACACTCACAATAATTCACCAACCACAACAATAAGGTCCACACACTTACAAACTCTCGAACACCCAAGAAAATTCTGCTAAAGAGTAAATATAATGACAGCATACACAAAACGATACGGCCAATCACATAATAATGAAATATCCAGTCAACAATCAATCAGTCACAAGTGGGAAGGCTGGACAGCCCACCCCAAATGGTTAACTGATTGAACAGTAGTAATAATGCCACCTGCCACCCCCTCCCCCCATCCCATTAATCGTGTCAGTGTCATGACATCCATGAAGGAAAGTCCCTCCTCCCTCGCCCACGGGGGGGCTAAAAGCAAACTTCTGTGCCCCCACATGCAGACAGACAGACCATTTTCCATCTAGATCGAAACTGGAGGAGTAAACACTTGTAAACACCCCCCTCCCCCCTAACATAAGTCTTCCAAAGCCACCAAAAAGAAAAGGAATGCATTTTAGTGAAAGTCTAAAATATCAAAACCTTTGCAAGGGTGGGGAAAATTCCTATCAAAAGAAGAAAAAGTGAAGGAAAAGAGAAACAGCCCAGTATTTCAAATTGGAATTATTATGTCTCTCAATAAGTTTAAACTCAAGAAATTAAGTTTTACTGGTATACTTTTCACTACCCAACATCGAAACAAGAAAGGATACATTATGTACCCATACCGAAATTAACCCCCCCCCCCCAAAAAAACAACAACAAACCAATTCGTCTGCCACACAAGTTTCAGTGTAAGCAAAGAACAACATGGAACAGCCATAACACCCAGAAAAAAAAAAAAAAATAGAAATACAGAATCTCAACTGAGACCCGGCTGACAAAATGGCTGTCATGAAACTATTGAAACTATCCTGAAAAGGAACATCCCCGCCTTTCCCCCTTTCCCATTTCCCCCAAGGGTGGGGGGAAAAAAACAACTAATAAAAACATACGACATGATATGAAATTGAAACGGTCAAATTTTTGTCCTTTTCTGAATCAAACATAATCTTTGTCTTCACAGAAGTTAAAAAAAAAAAAAAAAAAATCAAATCAAGAGAGGAGATGGGACGAGGTCAGAGAAAATAATAACAAAGGAGTCTGCGAAGTACTATGGAGCAGCAAATGATGGTATTTACAATGACGAAAGAAAAAACAAAAGACACACACCACCGACTGGCAGGAAAGTGAGTGTAAACTTGTGTAAATGTAGACATTCTGTGCCCCTAAAGACACAATTTGTTAACTTGTGGCAAACATTCAGGAGGATGAATTCAGAAAATATGGGTAAAACAAACTCTAAATGAAAAGTGATTCAAGAGAAATTTGGATGTATGTACAAGATCAGATTTGAACTCTGATGTGAAAACCAAATATGTGAACCTTTGTACACTGTGGTTAGTATTTATTCTTTGAAAATCAAGGGAACAGACTCAAACGAACCTGCTGAAACATGGTAACAATTTGACGTGCCTAAAGTAACAGACTTTAATGAAAAAAAAAAAAAAGAAAGAAAGAAAAGAAAGAAAAAAGACACAAGAGAACCTACCCAATGTCAAAGACTAATGACAGAGGACAAGGGCTCATTTCAACAAAAACACACTTTCTTTTTTTGTTGTTTAGCTATTTGACAAAATTATAAATACGACTCGTATATGTACAGGAAAACTTGCTCACTCGATCAACTTGCTCACTAGATCAACTTACTACAAGGGCTTAATCAGGTTAGATGTTCTGACAATGACCAAGTTGAGGAGTTGGGAAGGTATAGTCTGGGATTCTTTTTCTCCTTAGCTGCAAATCTGTCTCCCCCCCCCCCCCCCCTTCCTCCTAGCAAAAAAAAAATTAGAAAAGAAATCTTAAGACTACAAACATGTCCACCATTTTGAGAACAAAAGAAGCACCCCCCCCCCCCCCCCCCAATCCACTACTCCCCAAGTTAGGATCTTTCCACTTCCAACCGGATTGAGCCCTCTTCCAAACACATTCACATTTTTTCATATGCAGTTGAGTAGGAGAATACACAAGAACTCGCATCAACTCACTATGCTTGCAACAAAGTGCAATGCTAAGCTTACTTTTCAAGAATCCTACAACTTAATTTTAGTCTCAATAAAGATATAAAATACAATATTCCTGTGATTTTCATTAATCTAAGTTCTACTTATAAAACTGAATTATGTTTAGAGAATGGTGCTCAAGAGAAAATAAATTTTCCCAAAATATGTTTTGTTTTTCATTTGCCTATTTTCTAAGCCAGAACACAGAGAGAGCGAGAGCCTTGTGCCCCTCCCCCCTGCACATGCCATATGTACACAGCCCCACACCCTTACGCAACAACCACGGACGGCCACCACAAACCAGTGCTTCATGTCATGCTTGGGCCACTCAAACGAGACTTCTCCTGTTCTAGTCACACGACGGGATCAGAACACAAGAATCTGATAAAGCTAAAAGCCATGCTGTGCGGCATCATTAAACAACGCATTTCACTGAAAACTACCAGTCCGTCGTGGAATTTCGAAGTCAAATGATACGACACTGAAATTCAGCTTTTTTTCAAAGTTGCACTGTCTGTGCAGCCTGATATGAAAATGCTGCATGAGGGACACATTCGGCTGGTCACGCTATATACAGTCATAAAGGAGGGAGTACTAGTGCGCACTCAGCAGTGTGGATCAGTCCAACTGGCCACAATTACAGATGTCATCCTCCCCTTCCAAATGTAAGCCCCACAGAGAACTAGTCCATAAAATTTTTTTTTAAAGATTCTGACCATGACTAATAACCTACTCGATTTTCAAAAGCCGCAGAGACTTATTCTATTACTCTCCTTAAAAAAAAAAACCCACCTCAAAACAAACCAATTTCCTAATGCCTATTTTGTAACAAAACTACTGCACTCTTCCAATATCTGAGAAATTTAAAAAGTTTGACATCATTAATTACTCGTACATTATCGACGATAACGAAATTTTCCAACAAAAAGAAACCATCCCTACAAAAGATTAACCCCCCCACACACATAGACATTGTGTCCCCTACTCTACATTATATTACAGCGAGTTACTGAAGAAACCTATCCTTTCAAAATGGACCTTCACTGTGACCTGATATTCTGATTTGGGTATCTGGCATGTCAAGCCTTGCCTCCTCCACTGCCAAGAGCCACCATCGACCCACTTTATCCCTTCAACGGCTACGGCACTTTGGTCAGGGTGTGCCTAAAAGAACCCTAGTGTCCCACAGTATTCCGCAGATGGCCAGCCAGCAATTAAAACCAGGGTGGACGTGTGGTTAAAACCACAAGCCTGTTTGTCCAAACACACCCCCTTGTGACAACACAACTTTTCGACTGGCTTGCATGCAGACTTCAAAACACTGGCACTCTACTCTCACGGCAACTTTTTCTGAGGTATGCCTCAACTCCTCATATCGGTCGCTGTACGCACAAGGCACTTTGCTCGAGGCGTGCTTAAACCTCTTAATGATTCAACACTCATTGGGATTACCATGCGACCCGCACTCTTGGAATCTTAATTTGACTAGTTAGGTAGTGCGATGCAGGGGTCTGTGTCATATTCTACGTTTTTCCCCCAGGCAGAACACTCGTGTTACCAAACCATTCGCCACGTCACATTCACCCTCGGAAAAAGAAAACAAACCAAAAAAAAAACAAAAAACCCCAGGTCAGACTGGGCATTGGCTACGAGACAAGTCAAACCACACCAACATGGCATCTCAACTTGCCTAGTAACAATCAACAAGCTTTCAATAAATCAAAATTCTCAAACTATTAACAAACGATAACCTTAACAACATTATGTACACATGTTCAGATGACCACAGCCCTGCTCAGAACAAAGCTAGTGCTTTCTAAAGAATAAAAAACTGCCTACATTTTTCTGCGCCTCAAGACAGGATAGGTCAACAGCTTCAGCCGAGCGCAGGGCAACTTTGTGTCTGGCTTGCCGGGACCAGGTGTAGACAGGACATGGTGAAATACCACGATTCCCAATTAACTAAGATTAATGCAACGGGAATACAGCACAGCTTGCGGATACCTTTGGGGGGTCCACACAGTTCTACCCTAGCACTGTTCTCAACAGGCAAATATATATATATGGATCTGGGATCATCATTTCATCCGTATTTACAAATCGAACGTACACATGAGCAAATGCCACAATCTGATCAGCAGCCCAACTAGCCACCACCATGAACCCCAGCAACCTTTCGCCTCCACAAATTTTTTTTTTTACAAAAGTCAACTAAGAGACAACTAGCTGGGAGATTTTTCCACTCAAAACAACAGGGGTGGAATACCACATACTAAATCTTTACACTCAGCTCCCATCCAAAACTCCAGTTGATCAAGTCTTCCACCCAGAAAGGCCGGAGCGGTGCTCTCTCAGTTCCGCTCAAGCTCGTCCACAGTCATCACATGACTGCCTTGGGTGGGCAGTGGGGGCATGCTGGGCAGCTGCGTCTTGAGGATGTCTGGGCTGAACCAGCGCTGGATACCAGAGTTCAAGTCTGGCTTTCCTCCTCCTCCTCCTCCCCCATTCATGCTGGACACCGGGGGCTGTGGGCCATCTGAACCAAGGAAGATTATATTTGTTAAGTTTAGTTTCAGTAACAGTTTTACAGCAGTTGCAAAACAATTAGGCCATATAAGTGCTGAAGATTAGAGGCATTACGAGAGAGTAAGGAACACAAAAAAGCAGGAAAGATAGAGAGATAAGGACAATAGATGTTTTGTTTGCTTTAGTAAGCGTTTTATGGCACTTGCAACACAATTAGGTAATAAAATGATGAAGATTAGCACTGTTACTAGCGAGTAATAAACACAAAAAGAATGGAAAGATAAGCCATAGATGTTTCATAGGTAAGAATCAGCACCGGCCACCCATCCACAACCAAAGAAGTAAAAAAGGTTGTGAATGCTATACACACACATAGAAGCACAGTTAAGATTAAAATGAGCCTGGCAATTTCAAACTTACCTGGGTGAGAATAAAAGTACATTTTCAAAAAATGGTCAATCATAAATGTAGCAAAGACAATGAAAAATTAAATTTTTATTCAAATTGCTTAAAAAAGGGCTTAATGAAAATAAAGTAAATTCTAAGAACTATGGTCTTTAAATTTTAAAAATCCATTGATAAATAAAAAAGTTATTGGGATTTTTGTTCACAAAATTTTGGGGGACCTTCATAGAGGGAAATATCGCCAAAATGTGGGACATGTCTTGATGTATTTTAAGGAAAAACTGTTAATAAGTCAGTAATGAATTGGAGTACATGAATGAATCTTGGAATCTTCATGTGATTTTTTGTGCAGAATCTAGTTCTGCTATCACTTTTTCGATGTCTTTATTACTTTGGATCTTAAAGACTGATATTTGCGTGTAATTTGTTGAATTTGCGTGACATCGTTTTTTCTGCGACGCGATCACCCCATCTAAAACTCAGTAAAGCGGTATCTGGAAATCCCGCAATGAAGTCATCGGTGACTTATTTAATTATAGGCAGCCAATTACATTCCGCCTAGCAATCACGCGCCTCTTGCATGCCGGCACCTCGCGTTCGGAATGCGTGATCTAGTTTCCAGCTCTAGGGTATTATCAATAGATGGGTGGTAATTTTAAGTTGGTACGTAAAATGTACTACACGCAGAGATCTGAAATTTTACAGCAATAAAGAAGACATGTGGGGCACCTGTATGGTCGGTGATCACCCGGCAGCTCCGCTTTGTTTTCGAACCGCAGAGGAAATTCACAAAAACATGGCAATTTCTCAGGTTCTAGAAATCGCTCGGAATTGTACGCTGGCATGTCCCAAGTTTCATTTATTTTCGTCAACAAGTTTTCCCGTAACTATACTTAGAAAAGAGTCACTTCTGATTCCGAGCGGCCCAAAAATTACACTTCGCATGGAGGCCGTTTTCCGGCCCAAGGCGCAGCGGGCGATTGGCATTGCTAATAAATGTTTTATGCCCCCCACTGATATAACTTAGTTCACATACTATGGTACAAGCTTTTAGACCTATCTGTCAAATCCAACCAAGACTGAACTGGAGACATTCCAGGAGAAGGACGGAGATACTAAAACATTTTCTCCAAACAGGAATGGGACTTGCCGTCTGGTCATACTCATAGTAAGAGCAGAGAATATGACCAATACAAAGATGCAGGTAAAGAGCTTCTTTTTTTCGTTTAAAATGTACATGTTTACACACCCCCATCAACACAATAAATGTATTTGTATTCACACCCCCATCAACACAATTTATACCATTTAGGAGGCAGGCTTTCAACCCTGCCTGTTAGGGCCAACCCACGCCGAGAGGGATACAAAGTCCCAGGAGAAAGGCCAAGACACTTGATAAAAATAGATTCTCCCACAGGAATAGAACTTGGGTCTCCTGCTTGCAAACAGCGAAGAGTCTACCCGCTACACCACAAACGCCAGTATGCAAGGAACTGACACAGCATAAAAATCCTGGAGATGGTATTAAGCTTTTCCGGAATATGAACTCACTCATTTTCAGGTGGCCGTGAGGCGAAGCCACTCTCTGTATGGTGGCTGACAGAGCAGCTGGCGAGAGCGGCCCTGCATTCTGCGGGCTCATGGGGGCCGACACGGGGCCGCCCCGGGTGTGCAGGGGCGGGAGGGGGGCCATGCCTCGCTGCTGCTGCATGGCCATCATGGATAGCTGCTGGCTGCGCTGAGCGTTGGCTGCATGGGCTGGAGGAGGCAGGAAAAGATGGGAAATTATAAGAGACACCTTGCTAAGTCTTTTAGTTTAAGAGTCTTACAGAACTAGGGACACAATAAGGCCATATAAGTGGCGAAGATTTGAGGTGTTACAAGAAAGTAACATTCATGAAAGAAAAGGAGGGGAGATGAGTATAATAAATTTTTGATACGAAAGAAGGAGCAAACCACACCAGAGCACCCGCCAATCACCCTGTGACATCATGGTAGTCTTTCATCTCTTTTCATTGAAGTTTTCAGTCGTTTTCGAGTACAGAGAAGCATATCAACACAATAATTGGTGAGGTGGCAATGGGGAAGAAAAACAGCCAGAAAGAAACAGCAGACGAAGCACTTCTGACTGAAGACGTACATAAATATACAATTAACACCTTAAAACAAACATATTATTCAACCTTAGACTCTTACATCACTGACAATTTCTATGATTCACTAGGAGAGATCAAATAACTAGAGCCATGTCAGCAGACCTGCTACTCAATGAAATCTCAAAATCAGGATCTCAGGGGGGAAAAAAATCAGGATCAACAGCAAATCACCAAGGTGACTGCCAAGTCGACTTAAAATTTGTCCAGGGGTGTCCATAAATATATATATGCCCTCTGTGTGTGTGTTTTATCATTATTCTTTTTTAAATCCTGAAGCATCACATAAGCACTCCTAGTCTAAGGGTCACCCCCATCAATAAGTTCAGAAAGACTCCTCAACCAGTGTGCATGAACTTAAGCTGACCCCATCAACGAACGGTCACCGACACACCAGGAACTCACATGCCAAAGTCTAGTCACGTGATGCGAACGCGGGATCGAAAGTTTTATTTGACAGGAGCGACTAACTGCACGTTCATACCAAACACTCTGACGAGTGACTGTCGCTTTAGGCCGACCAACCAAATGTACCAACAAATCTCTTATCCCTCATATGCGTTCAGACCAAAGTAAAGACAACGGTGGAGTATTAGTCTAGTGAGCGATGTTAGTTTTATAACGGTTAGAACGACTGTCGCTCATCCGAGTGTTTGGTATGAATGCGCGGTTACTTGACCACCGACGAGGCTTGTTTTGAAAGTAACAGCAGAACTACGAATATTATCGATTATTTGTATGTCGCAATTGTAACAGTTATCAGGCTATCATCGGAGAATTCTGAGTGCTAGCAAAGATTAAACACAACTCGGGGCGAGTCAACCACTAAATCCTGCATCGGTATTTCGGAAAATAATACTCCAAATTCCTACTGACAAAAAGTTCAATAGGTGCTTCTCGCAACAGAAAAGAAGGCAAAGTAAGTTTTTAGAAAAATCCGGCACAACAGCAGACTGGAACAAAAAATCGGGATACATGCGATCAAAATCGGGAAATTCGGGATTTGGGGCAAAAAAATCGGGATATTGCAACTAAATCGGGATGAGAGGCAGGTCTGTGTCAGTCACTTGAGACTTGAGACCACTGGAAGTGAGCATGCTAATGAACATCATTTTTGACACAATAGTTGATGCAGAGCGATGTACTTTGACTAAGCAAAGAGATCATACAACTAAAGCTACGACTGACTCTTGATCTTCTTGTTTTATTTTGTTTTACAACACAATTAAGTTATAAAAGTGCCACACATTAGGCATTAAACATGATAAGGGCAATAAGACGTTTGATAGGAAAGAAGGAGCAAACCACACCAGAGCACCCGTCAACCACCCACTCCTCTTCCTTGTGCAAAAGACCAACATACTCCACCCACTCCTCTTCCTTGTGCAAAAAACCAACATACTCCACCCACTCCTCTTCCTTGTGCAAAAAATCAACATACTGCTCCATCCACTCCTCTTCTTTGAGCAAAAGCTCAGCTTACCTCTGGCGGCAAGTTGATGCTGCATGGCCGCTGCTGAATTGATGGGAGCAGCCATCATGGGCATGTGTCCCCCGATGGGCATCCCGACGGGAGGCGGGCCCAGGTGGTGGATAGGCGTAGCCATTGGCGGGGGAGGGAGCACCATGCCCGGCTGGGAATGAGGTGGCTGGGGGAGAAAAACACCGGAGTTTAGTTTTTGTTTCAGAAAGAGTTTTAAGGCACTTGCAACACAATAAGGTCATATAAGTGCCAAAGATTAGAGGTGTTACAAGAGAGTAACAAACACAAAAAAGGAGGAGAGATAAGGACGATAGATGTTTGAAAGGGAAGAAGGCGCAAACCACACCAGAGCACCTCAACCACCCACAAACACAGGAGTTGCTAGAAACCTTACACATATGCTGTGAGCAGCAACTATACCTAGGCTTTATTTTTTCATTCATACTTTGTCACTCAGACATGTCATGTCGACACTTCACTGTCTCAAGGGTAAAAGACTCCATCGACAACAACAGTTAAAAAAAGACGGCCTCATTCAACAGTAAGCCTACGAGTTTGTCGGCCCAGACAACGACCAACATGCTCTCCTACTACATCACACTTTAAATCCGGCCAAATCCACGTTTACTCACCAGTCTATGTATCAATGACAATCTACAAATGCTGACATAAGAACACCTGATCTCATGTGAGCTGGAACATTTTTAACAGAAGGGTCTGGTTTCAGTTTTACTAAAAGTTTTACAGCACTTGCAACACAATAAGGTCATATAAGTGCTAAAGATTAAAGGCGTCACAAGGGAGTAACAAACACACAAAGAAAAGGAGGAGAGATCACAACCATAGAGGTTTGATCGGAAAGAAGGAGCAAACCACACCAGAGCACTCGCCCAACACCTGGTATCAACAAGAAAAAAAAAAATGCCATTTGCTTATACTGCGGCACCAAATTGACCCCACACAAAGAGAAGGCTTTAACACTAAAGCTTTGTCTTTAATCTACAACCATTAACAACAGAGAATGGCACCCAAAATGAAAGCAAATCCAGAGTAGCGCTCCAGACAGTCACTGCCTAACACAAGCCTAAAGCAAGGTCATCCCCTATATTATGTTGTTGTTGTTAGCGATCCAGTAGCATCTGAGCGTTAACTCTTCTGCATGATGCCATTCGGTAATAGCTGCATGTCTATTCTAATTGTTGTCTTGAGGAGTAGAGGCAATTAGATGTGTGGGGTAGCTTGGGAAGAAAACATCCCCTTATATTATGAGAATGAAGAAAAATTATCAGAAAAGGCCCCCTGCTCATGTGTCAGCTTAAGACCCACTTCTAACACAGAACACACGACATGAAAATGGGGAACTTCACTCTTCCAGGATAAATTATTACAGTGCTGTTCTCACTCCCAACATAACTTTTGGGCCAGCAGGGCAAAGGTAGAGCAAAAGCACAGCTGAGATCAACAGGATTACCCAGGCTATACCAGAGCCATGCAGTGCCACAGGGTTCAACAAACCATACCTGAGCCATGCGGTGCATCTGCTGCAGTTGCTGTTGCTCCAGGAGTCGCATGATGTCCACATTGGCTGCCGAGCTGACCGGCTGTTGCTGCTGCTGCACAGAGCTGGAGCCCACGATGGCCCGGCCAGCCGCACCTCCCTTGTTGTTGGAGTTGGGGGTGCTGACAGACGAGGATGCGGTTGCTGCTGTCGAGAAAGACGGTGGCGCCATCTTCATTCCTCCGGGAACTGGTAGATGACAAAAAGGGCACAAATAAATCTTTTTTTATCAGTCGGTGAACTGCAATACAAGCTGATATCACTACTAAAAAAAAACCCAGCTAAAATAAAACCAACCAAAGAAAGTTACTAAAATAGAAAAATAATTTTTTAAAAAGATTTTATCTATATAATTACATTTATCAAGAGAAAATTTAATTTTTTTTAAATACGTTTTTAAAAAGCACCCCTACTCAACTTCCATAAGAAGCTAGCGACAGTAAAGAACTCAGTAACAAAGCACAGACACAGCTGTGAAATATAAGGAGAGCTATAGTAATAGTCCGTTTTTATTACAAAGTGAACAATTAAGAAAAAAGCAGACTGAAAAAGATAGTGAAATCCTGCAAGACCCCCTTATTCCTTAATCCCTCCCTTCCCTTACTCCAAGTTCCCCTTACTCCTGCATCCCCCTCCTACTCCTGTATGTCCCCCCTTACTCCTCACTCCTGTATGCCCCCCACCCATCTTCATACTCCTGCGTGCCCCCCCCCCCTCCTATATTCCATGTCCCCCTTATTCCTTAATGTCCCCCTTACTCTTTACTCCTGTATGTCCCCCCTTACTCCTCACTCCTGTATGCCCCCCACCCATCTTCATACTCCTGCGTGCCCCCCCCCCTCCTATATTCCATGTCCCCCTTATTCCTTAATGTCCCCCTTACTCTTTACTCCTGTATGTCCCCCCTTACTCCTCACTCCTGTATGCCCCCCATCCATCTTCATACTCCTGCATGCCCCCCCCTCCCTCCTATATTCCATGGTCCCCCTTACTCCTTACTCCTGTATGTCCCCCTTACTCCTGCATGCCACCCTATCTACTGCACCTGACCCTTTCTCCCGTACATCCCCCTTACCAGCAACACCGGCGCCCCCGGTGACGGGCCGACTGCCCATGCCTGCTGGAAGTGGTAGTTGCTGCTGTTGCTGAGGAAACCCAAGCATAGGGTGCGAATGCTGCTGCTGCCCCGGAATTCCTTGGTCTTCTGACAGTAGTTCAGATGGCACTGGAGCTGGAAAAAAATCAACGAACAACAAGTTTCGAGCTCGCACCATTTTGAGAAATAGTTGCATATATGCTTGAACAGCAGCTTATTAGCTTAATTCCTACCATCAAATGACTGTCAGTAATCATGCAGATAACAGAAACATAATCTCAGCTGCAACTGCTGCCTCATTCTCTTTTTTCTCTCTTAACACAAAATCTCTTGGTATTATCTGGAGCTCTGTGAGCACGCTGGCATTAGAGGTCGCAGCAGTTCCAAGAAGTCATCAGTAATACCACAACTTCGCTGCTGATCTTCAGCTTTCTGCTTTTCATAGGGACAATCCTCCACTTCCATACAGAAAGCCATGTCACTACTCTTAATGCTTTAAAATTTAAGGTAATTGTAGAAAGACCTGTCTTTCCACATATCTATTAAGGGTGGTTGTTCTGTTTTGCTTGAGCTATTGCTGCACTGATGTCTTTTGTAGCAAGTGATGTCTGATAATTTGTAAGAGCTAAATGGCAACCAACCAGCCACAGTTATAAGTTCCCGTTCTAGGAACAGATGAGGAAAGTCCCTACTACTGAGCAATGAACAATCCCTTTAGTTGAAGTGAACAGTCTGTCAACACGACAGTGACAACATTGCTCAAAGAACAGCAAAACAAGAGTAATAATAATAAGAGAAACAGAAGAAACGGACCACTGCGTAGTGCCTGGCAAGCATCCATGGGCAAATGAGAAAGGGGGGGAAAACAAAATCAAGGTGAAGAAATGACCTACCTTTAACAATAGGCCGACCGTGACCGGCATTCCTGGAGGCTTCCGCCGCAGCCTTGGATTTGTCCAGCCTCTGGGACAGATAGCCTGGTTTCTCAGCCAGGATAGACAGCTTCAGCTGAGATAACAAAACACAACCAGTGTTAGCAAGGGTGAGGGAAGGGGAAAGGGAAGGGGGGACAAGTGCACAAAAATAAAACCAAAAGTAATAAAATAAAAGAATAAACGACAAGACGAAAAGAGAGAGGTGAACAGTGTAGCAGCTTTGCAGCTAGATACAAGTGTCCAGTTACCATTAACTTTTAGTTTACCTCGGGTAACTACAGTTGAAATTGTCCAAGACCGCCACCCATTGTCATGGAGAAAAGTAGCTGTCTAAACAGGTGGCCACCTCACAGTGTCATTAGAATGTTTTAAAAAACCAAAATACTCAAAGGGATGAGATGGGAAGTGGCCGTTTGTACAGGTGGTGGTCTTATACATACAGGTGGCCGTTATAGCAGGTTCGACTGTGTGTTTACTTTACATTGCTATAACCACCAATTCAGAGACCATTTTAGAAAAAGCTTCAAAGCCAGTGGGGAATGATCAAGGCCCCACTGACCTATTTACAAAACTGATTTGGATCTTTTTCACACAATGTGTACATGAATTTATCTTCATCTTGTTTGAAATACAAATGTTTTAAAAGCTGCAAAGCTTTACATTGTTGAAACAGAAGTTTTCAGGAGGAAAAAAATTAAGGTTTAAAGTCTTAAAGGTGTGCAAATCATGCAGTTCACTCAAGGCGTGCCTCGGCGCCACTCGTTTTCCAAAAAAACCCAGCATCAAGAAAGGGACACTTTCTCAAATCTGGTTTTTGAAGTGCCGATGGCAAAAAAGCCAAGCAAACAGACTTGTGCAAAAACTTCATGGTTTTGCACACCTCCAGTGCTAACAAGATTTCGGCAGAGAACACCACCTTGACCTTGCGGAAATGTACTGTACCTGGTCTCCTCTCACCACTGGCTGGGGCAGATCTTCCCTCAACCCTCCATCCCCCAAGATGCCAGCATTTACCTTCTCTTCCACCGACATGGGCTGTGAGAGGCTGCCGGGCAGAACATTAATCTGACCGATGCGGAGCGAGCTGTCCAGCTGGCTGGTCAGTGAGACCAGGTTTGGGTTGACCGGGTCCAGGAAGCTGATGTCGTTGAGGTCTTCCAGGCTGGCCTTCAGCTCAGACTTGGGCAGGCCGTCCATCTGGTGGTCAGCCGGACTGTCACCGCTCAGCTCTTGCATGGACGGCATGTACTCTGGTGACACACAAACACAGGAGTTGTTGGGCCCGTCAGTTTATTGAAGTTTGTGAGTGTATGTGTGTCTGTGTGTGAGTGTCAGAGTATGTGTGCATGTGAGAGGAAAAGCGTATGTGCAAGCGTGAGAATTAATTTGTAACATTGCATGTTTGAGTGTGGGTGTGAGATTGAAAGAGACAAAGGCAGACACATATAGACGGATATGCAGGTTTTGCAACCGTAAAAAAAGACCGGCCAGATTACAAGCGCTCTATCAACCTGTAGCACAAATCAAAGGATGGCAAATAGAAACAGAAGCTTAGCTTAACAGTGAAGTCATCTGGTGCTGGAAAAAATACCCCCCTGAAAAAACCCATTAAAAAAACAACTAAGAGCAAAAGCAACAAAAGGGCAGTAGAGAACAACGGCAGCACCAGCAAATCGTTTGGTCAGAATTTACAAAATCAAAAAAGAAACAAGTTCCAGCCGCAGTGTGAGACATCCTTATGGCTTGTAACAACCCCCCGCCCAAAAGAAATAAATAAAAGATTGCTGGGAAAAAGAAGGGCTTATCAGTATGGAAATGGTACACAGGATGCTTATTGTGGAAGCAAAAGGAATTTGTAAAGGAAAAGAAAAACAACAATTATTTCTTCTGACCTGGTTCGTTTTCTATCTTTCCTTCCTGAGCCTGTTTCTCTTTCTCCATGGCTTTATCCGAATGCATCTTTCTCAGCACCGAGGTCGGAGTGAAAGTGTCCAGCGAGGCCCCCTGAAATTTCATCCACTTAGATGAGTCAACAAGAGCAAACTGCAAAGGATTTATCAGTGGAACTAAGTAAGTATGGAGAAATGGAATGCTCCTGGCTGGCAGATATAGTTGTGCCTAAAAATAACTTTTTTTTCTGCGACAGAGCGTGATCCTGTCATTTCTTCTACTAAACCTATCTGCCATTAAGTGTGCCCCATTTATGATTTCCATAATTTTAATCAATATTCCATTCGCCCTACAAAGATTTCAATAAGATTCGTCAAAGAGGCGGCATTAATGTGGAGAAACACACGGACACAATAAACAAAACCACAGAAAGAGAGTGCATAGAGGCACTCTCTAATCACCTACTGAAAGAGGTTAGAGATTTACAACTCATATTTGAAGATTCTAGTGCACCTTAGAGCAAATAAAAAAAGGTGAACTATCAATTACAGGGCGGATGATATTTTTGAGAAGACATAAAATAGAAATAGTGGGTATCAATTTTCTAACTTTAAAAAGGTATTTTCACTATTGATTCTCGTGAATTGGCTGGAACTTTTGCTGTAAGTTTATTCAGAAGCCTTGCGCACAACACTTCACTTTCCACAACCACCAACCACAGAACACTACATTTCTCCACATTCAGTTGGGATCTGTAAACAATCAGCATACACAGAACACATTTATAAAAATTTCCCACAACTGACCTTACATCGAACCCCTTTGTTATGACATTTCCCTAAAATCTACAAACAAAAGGAAAATGCAAAAAAACCTCTTCAGAAGTGTAGTAAATCTGGGGACTTAGCTAACGTCCACTTCCAGAGACTTAATTTGTCCTCCTCTCCGTCATATTCTTTTCATTTCCTCTCCTCAAATATTAATATCTATCCAACTTGCTTGTGATTATTCCACCTGTAATTTTAGGACCCACTTGCACCAATTACCACAATTAATCTGTACTATATTCCCTGTCTTTGAGACTAGCGCTGCGCACGACAAAAGCATACGCTTCATTCCTAACCAGGACCATAATAATAATTGTTTGTTCATAAATGTCTTACGATAACCAATCCCATCTGCAGAGGAGAATGTTTCCAAAGTGAAACAAACAATAAGGGTTCAGATTACTTGTGGCTTCTTAGTTTAGTTTAGTTTTAGTAGAGGTTTTACGGCACTCGAAACTGCATAAGGTCATATGAGCGCCAGAAGATTAGAGGTGTTATAAGAGAGTAACAAACATAAAAAAGAAGGGGAGACAAGGACAATAGATCTTTGATAGAAAAGAAGAAGCAAACCACACCAGAGCACCCGCCAACCACCCACACTTGTGGCTTCTGCTTTGACCAGTCAGACCAATAAGACTATAACACCCCACCAAATATGTGACATATATAAAAGTAGTTGGATGGCTAGAGACCACCCACCCTCCACACTAACATATTCAACGAAGCAGGATGGGAAGCAACCCCACTCCCGCCATATTGCGACACATCTAAAGAGAAGCTGGACGGGAAGTGATGTGTCTCACCTTTGGCTGTGGGTGTGGAGGTAACACTGTCTGGACAGCAGGCTGAGGTTTGATCACGTTGATGTACTGCTGCTGCTGTTGATTGGGTGACTTGGCTCTGCACAACATAAAACACTGTTGTTTGAACAAAGCTGCTCGGTTCTTCTGCTCGATTTTGTATGAGTACGGCACTATTCTCGACACACAAGTCTGGTTTTAAGCATAGCACCAGGCCCAAGAGAAAGACCAAAAAGGTACAAAAGAGACGCAAAAGTAAGCTTAATGAAATCAAATCAAATTCAGCCCCACTGTTTAAGCATGAGCATAAAGTAAAAAACAAAACCAACCAAAATGGCATGGTGTTCGCCTGTCAACCCGCAGGTCCGGAGTTCCACCCTTGCCTGCGACATCCCCCCCACACCCTTATTCCTAGAGGATAGGTAGGATCGATCAGGAAAAAAATTTCAAAATTAAATTAGACCTATCTGAAGCCATTCTAATCAGTATAAATATACAGATTTCTTTTCAAAATTGCATGTACCGCCATTTCAACCCACAATCACAATTGCAAATAAAAGATAAGATTGCAGAACAACCCATCTTTACCTCTCCTGCTGCTTCTTCATGAAGCGTTCACTTTGATCCTGAAGCTGTTTCTTGATGAGGGCGTTAAACATGACGGCCTGGGCGTGAGCGGAGAGCTCCTGGGGGCTGGGGACACGGGGTGGCACCGGGGAGCGTACACCGCTGGGGGACTGCCACATGATAAGTAACAACAATAATAATATTGACAATAATCATTTTAAAACTGGTGAAACGATATAGGTTTAACATCCCTATCAACACTTTTAGGTCATGTAAGAGGCGGGATAATAATAATAAAATAATGATAACATTAATCAAACTAATAAATAACATTTTTATAGCGCATATCTCTACTTGACAACAAGTTCTTGTAGACCTGGATTAAAGTATAGACTTCAAACTTCCAAGACTGATGAAGTATTACTCAAGTTTCTTGGAATAGTAATGTTATGAGTGTGGTACCTTCCACAATGGCAACAGTCCCGTGAAAGGAGAATGCAACTTCTGAAAAACAAAAAAAAACTGGGCTTGTAAACCCAAAGTTGAGTTACATTTGGGGAGGATAGAAGAGGGAGGACAGAAGGAGGAGGAAGGAAGGGAGGTGGTTTAGTTTAAGTTAGTGTTTTACGACACTTGTAACAAATTAAGGTCATATAAGTGCCAAAGATTAGAGGCAAGTAAAAAAAAAAAATTTTTTTTAAAGGAGGGGAGATAAGGGCAATATATGTCTGATAGGAAAGGAGCAAACCACACCAGAGCACCCGGAAAACCATCCATGGAGAAGGATGAGGACGAGGAGGAGGTGGAGGAGGAAAAGGAGAAAAGGGACAACAACATACCACCAACAACAAAAGGACAATACTAGAAAACGCATCGTATCCTTCACCAGATGTGTGCGCAACAAAACCTGATGACAAGGAGCTGGTTCACCAGCAGCAAAACAACCCACATCATCTGCTGTACTTACAGGAATAGTGGTGGCCGTCAAGTTGGCGCCAACGGTCAAGGCGCGGGGACTGAGCTGCCCTGGATGGATGGGAGACGGAGCACTCAGGTGGAGGGGAGGCTGTTGGCTAAACACTGAAACATCCAAACACGGCAAACACCAAATAAGACACAGTTCTCTTTATCTTTTAATACTCTAGTTTTTAGTTTTAGTGAAGAGTTTTATGGCACTTGTAACTCAATAAAGGCCATATAAGGGGATGAAGAGTAGAGGTGTTACGAGAAAGTAACAAATACAAAAAAGGAGCAAACCACAACTCAGCACCCGCCAACCATGCTTTGATATTTTGGAAAGACTAGCACATGTGCGTTCAATGGGCCAGTATGCATAAAACATGTCCCTGTCAAACAGTATTTTCCTTTGATTTTAATTCTAACGTGAATCCCCTTTGAGCCATCAGGGAGTGGGCACAAGAGAAGTGATCAATATTATTATTACTTATTACTTTTTTAATTTTTAAAAATTTTAGTAGGAGTTTTACAGAACTTGCAACATTATAAGGTCATATAAATGCCGAAGATATGGGGTTACAAAAGAGTAACAAACACAAAAAAGGAGGGGAGATGTTAAAGAAAATATGAGAGACAGGGTGAGCAATTGAGTGTAAAAAAGAGAAGAGGTAAGGGGAGGGAAACGGAGAAACAGACAAACAAAACAAACGAACAAAACACACACTAAAGACACTCACTCAAAGGCGAGGGCACCCTCGCCGTGTTAGGAACGGCCGAGGGCTGCGAGGCCAGGATGCCCGGCAAAGGTGGGGCCGGGGAGGCGGGCTTCATCACAATGGTGGGGTTCTGCTGGATCAGGTTGAAGATGGGGTCCCCTGATGTGGGCGGCCCCCCACTGTGGGCCCGCGGCTTGGCCACCGGGTGAGGCGTCGACATGGCCTGCGGGGTCAGGCTGTGTCCAGTCAGGTCTTTGCCGGGCAGGCCTGGAGAGAAGGAATGCAGAAGGGAGTGAGTTTTACAAGAAAGTAAAAAAAAAAAAACCCAGAATAATAATGGTTATTTAGACACATCGCTTATTATCCCACGCTTTGCCTTTTTGTAATCAAAATGACCAAATCAACTGGTTGAAGAGGGGGAAAAAAAGTTTCCAAAATACACTGAGCCTGTGTAGACAGTGAATTAGCATGACAACAGTTACATTTGAGAGCTAAAGATGAGAACATCCCAACTCCTTGTTTTAAAAAACAATGGACTCCAAAGCTAAGAAGTAAACCGAGAACACTTATTGAAGTATTTTAAACATTAAAAAACAGAATGAACAGAAATAACAAGAGAAAGACAAACAAATCAGCAAGCACAAACCAGGAGGCATGTTGTGGGCCATGTGGTGCTGGAGCTGCTGCTGCTGTTGCAGCGTCATGGCCGACTTCTGCTGCATGGCCTGCGGCGGTGGCCCCACCATCTGAGGAGGCAGCTGCGACATCATCCCTTGCTGCGGCATGGGCGGGGGCCGCTGGGCATTGTGCATGGACTGTTGTAACAGCTGCAGCTGCTGCTCCTTGTTGCGCATCAGAGCCTGATGGAGGAAGAGAAAGGAACACTTCTTAATTGTACGAGTATTACACTACGTCATTGCTTCTTGTAGTGCCTGAGGGAGAAAGAGGTACAGAAACACTTCTTAATTCTACGAGTGTTACACTACCTCATTTCTCCTAGTTGCGCATCAGAGCCAGAAGGATAAAGAGGTAGAGAAAGTAAAATTATTATTTATATGAGTATCACACTGCATCACAACTATCAACACAACTATTAACCCTCATCCTGCGGGAGCCGGGTTTATGTAGCCCAATAAGCCTATTTCGGCACCTCGCCTGCGTTCTGGTCCCGAATCAGTGTAGCTCTTGGCACAGCTTACGCGCAGCGCGCATCCTCTTACGTGTCATTCGGGTCCCGAGTCGGATCCCCATTCACGCAGGTCAAGCGTGTGTGCGTCAGTCTGCTTGAGTTTGTGTGAGTTTGTGGCCTTCTAGAACCACCTGCGTTGGTTCGTAATTGAGACATACGTCTCATTCAAAACATGCCAAGTTGATAGCTCTAGATGTTCGTCCAATGAAATTATAGAAGAAATTGACCCACTTAGACATGAGGAGCTCGAAAGGATAGTCAGGAAACAAGACTTCCATTTTTCTATACAAAATATTTCACATGAGCTTGATTTTGTATGAAATGATACTACCTGATAAAAAATAAGCTTGTTTGATAGTTTTGAATACCCTTGTGCAGGTACAAAGAACAATTTGAGTGTAAAACATTCGGAAATTGACCTAAATTATCCCCTTTCGAACCTCAGGTCATTCATAACAACAAGAGCGTCCAGAAAGGTTATTCAAATGGGCGTAACTACTCGTAATGTCTTATCAGCTTGTGAGAGGGGGTTATTCATGTGTTTGTAACACTTTATAAATAGAAAGCTATGAAGGATAGAGCGTTATTTTCATCATCAGTTAACACACTCCCGCGGTATTCATGGCGAAAACACACGTTTCCCGGCCCGCGCGCTGTACACCAACAGTACACACTGAGTGACCCCGGCGGCCTGCCCGGCACGTCCGACGTAATCGGTTGCTGATAAGATACGCATCTGGGCACAGACGCAGGATAAGAGTTAATAACTTATGCCGTTTCACGCTTCAACCCTGTCTGTCAGGGCCAACCAACCCTGGCTCAGCATGATACAGCATCCCGGTAGACTGACGGAGAAGCTCAATTTTTTAAAAACTTTCCTTAACGAGCATCAAACATGTGTCTTTTGCATGCAAACAGTAAAGAGCCTAATAACCCGAGATGCTGGTGAGAGACGAAGTGAACAGTTCTCCAGTTGTAAGTCAGAGCAATGTAACTGTGGGTGGGCAGGATCACAAAGTCAAGTGGCGCCTGTTTTAGTTTTAGTAAGTGCTTTACAGCACTTGCAACACAATAAGGTCATATAAGTACTGAAGATTAGAGGTGTTACAAGAGAGGACATGCACAAAAGAGAAGGAGAGATAAGGACGATAGATGTTTGATAAGAAAGAAGAAGCAAACCACACCAGAGCACCCGCCAACCACCCACCAAGTGGTGTCTGAGACAGCAATAATTAGGAAGGTCACCGAGGTACATCCTTGAACCACTCGGTTAAAAAAATATTAGTAAGAGTATCACAGCACTTACAACACAATAAGGTCATATAAGTGCCGAAAATTGGAGGTGCTACAAGAGAATAACAACCACAAAAAAAGGAGAAGAGATAAGGACGATAGATGTTTGACAAGAAAGAAGGAGCAAACTACACCAGACCACCAATCAACCACTCACAAAGCCAGACGCACAAGCTCACAAACAAGAATAGAGAATGACAATGGTACATTTATAAAACGGTCAATAATTTAATATTGTAAATTATGTGATGACAACCACTGGATTATTTTACTCACACAGTGCTAAAGATTAGAGCTGTTACCAGAGAGCAGCATACAAAGAAAAAAAGGAGAAGTAAGGAAGATAGCAAATCACACAACAGCGCCAGCCAACCAAACGTGAGAATTCTCATTGTAGGCAAACTCTCAATCTTGAGAAAACTCACATGATTGAACTCGCTGTTCCCGGGCATCATACCATGAGTGGGGTGACCACTAGGCAGTGGCTCGGGCAAAACCTGTAGCAAGAGCAGAAGACCGCACAAAATTTCAGTACAACACTAGTTTAAGTAACTAGATAAGATCCTTAGGAATGCAAGATTTTTTCTTATTACCTTTAAACCTTATAAAAACCAGAATCAAAGACCACCATAGATTGTAATAACTCAAAATGCTTTATACAAAGGAAACATAGTAAGTCTTTTCAGAACTTGCAACACACTTAAGAAATATTAGTGCCAAAGATTAGAGGTGTTACAAGAGAGTAATAAACATAAAAAAGTAAGAGATTATGAAGATAGATGTTTGATAGGAAAGAAGCAGCAAACCACACTAGATCACCCGCCCACCAACCACAAAGGCAAGATGAAAAAAAAGGTGAAGAATTTGAGCAGAAGAGAAGTACTTCACTTAGACCATCAAAACAATAGACTGGAAAGTATAAAACCTACGAGCAGAGCCCTCCAACCACCTGTAAATTAAAGACGATAAAACCAATGTAAAAACAAGCCTGACTTACTGCATTCTGATTGGCCTCTGAGGCAGCTTTGACCATGATAAGGAGCTTGTTAAACGCTGTCATGTCCCCTTCCTGGTTAGCACTGGCACTTGAGGGTACTGGACTCTCCATCTTCTGGGGTGAGTTCTGATGCATGTCTGCTTCCAGTTCTGCCACAGTTTTCACTTTGCGCTGGACGCCTGTGAAACGTGGTAACATCTCTGAGTTGTCTACAGTGAATCAAGATCTGTTCAACGGTGCTTATACAGGGTGTCCCAAAACTCGATGACTGTCAAAAAGTTAATGATGACATCCTAACAGCTTAAAATTACCTACGGCGTTGCTTCTTTTTAATCATGCAAGTCTCTCATTCACATCATACGGTCTTTCTGTTGCCCAGTTCATACAATTCCGTTCATACAATTCCTGGAATGAATTTTTCCTGTCATGAAAAATTTGCCTCATCGCTAAAGCAAACAGGTCATAGACAATGTTCACCCCACCTCACTTGTCTGAAAAACCCACACACACTTTGTCTTCCTCTCCAACGCATTGCTTGGGATTATTTCTTAGTAGACTGAAACGTAATATGGCTTCATATTCAAATCATGCCTTTAGATTCAGTATGTCAGAGACTGACAAGCCTTGCTCACCATGACGTCCTCGAATAGACACCTTAGACAATGTCACAACCAAAGCACAAAGTGTTTCCCCATTTCCTTTATTTCACACGATTTTGTTAAATGGCATACTCACAGACATCCTTTCAATTTGAATTATTCGTGGAATCCCTAAATTTCTCTTTCTGAGGGTGCATAGGCTTGAAGCATTTTTGCGGACTTAAATTCAGCACATTTTCTAATGCAACTTTAAGATATGGCACATGCAGCAGTGCTTGTCTGACCAATTCTATTTTAGCAAAGATTATCGTATCAAGATGATCGAACATAATTCCTTTAAAATTTGGTGCAGATCCATGCAAAACTGGAAAAATTATTGGGTTTTTTCACGGTCATCGAGTCTGGGACAGTAGGTATTCAGAAATTTCCGTTTAAGTAAGGGTGAATCTTTTAATGGTTAAAAACAGCATTTTTATATCTAATATCACCTATAAAAACAATAAGAAGATTGTTTCCCCCTCAACAGAATTTAAATGACCAGTAAGGTTCATATCTGTTATACTTTTTTTACTTCAATCTTATTCAAAACAAAGGTACAACTACTAAGTGTGCCACTCTTCATTCAGCAAACCCAGTCTATACAATTTTAACATAAAAGGCACGGCACATATATCCAGCTGTTTATGCAACAAAAATTTCACAAGAAGTCCACATTGTCACTTCTACGAATCCAGATTCACCCCATATTCTGAGCTACTTTTCAATTTTGTTCCACTGAAAATTAACATTGGAACTTCCATTTTTATTGGGAAATAAATGTACATGAAAAGAAGAAAAAAGAAAGAAAAAAAGCAATCTCACAATGCACAAGAGCTCTAGAGCACATGTACTAAAAACGTCCAAACAACCCAACACTTAGCACGGAACTTACTGGCTGGCAGGTTAGACGGGGAGGCCGTCCCGCTGGAGGAGGCCGAGTCTTTGGGTCCACCAAACAACATGGCCTTGAGCTGAGCCTCTGCATCCTGGGCGCTGAAGCTGCTGTTGCTGGACAGAGCTGAGGAGGAGTAATAAAACGAGAAACAGCTTAGCCACAATTTATTCATCTAACATTTGCTTGCTTTGAGGAGAGCATACATACATTTTTGTGATTACAGGCATTGTTTGTTTTAGAAAGAGTTTTACGGTGCTTGCAACACAATAAGGTCATGTAAGTGCCGTAGATTAGACGTGTAGAGAGTAACACAATAAAGGAAAGATAAGGACGATAGATGTTTGCTAGGAAAGAAGAAACAAATCACACCAGAGCACCCACCAACTACCCACATAGCAGATATTACATTAAGACCTCCACCCAGGAATCAAGAGCTAGATATGGATACGGCCTCGACATTGACCGCATGCCACCTTCATTTACTGCTAGATCTGTTCGCCGATCAACTCCAGAAAACAAAATCAAGTGGAGAACAGTGGCGATTGTAATTTAAAAGCAACAAAGAAAAACCTGGAGTCCTTCCTAGAAGTTGTAGGGGGAAAAAAATGTGAGCCTAAATAGCAAACCCTGAAGGAGGTCTTCTACACATCATCAAGCAGAGAGGTGTTAGGCGAGACCCCCACAACTGTCAACAGAGCATTTGAAATATCTGTCCCAGTACAATTTACTTTTTTAAAAAAGATTAGCAGTAAAAACTTTCCTTTCTGGGGTGAGCAACTTTTGAAAACACATAACAGAGCAAGCAGCATTGTAAGCTCTGAAAGTGAAGCCATTAACAACCTGGTCTTAAGTTACACTGAGAAGGGAAAGCATTTTCAAATGACAAACCATACTCACTTGATTCTATAAGGACAATTTTTAAAAATTAGCAAGTGCATGACATTAAAAAAAAGAACAAGCTTTTACTGAAATATTGGGAATTTTTACTCTAGAATCTACATAACATGCAGAGAATATATTTCGGAATAAAACAACAAAACTCTATACTATCGCAAGAGAAAAGAAGTAAAACGAAAGTTTTCTGAGTAAATTTTATTGCTAGAATCGAAAGCAAATATATCAAGACAGACAGCAAGTACTATATAGCTTAGTAAATAAAGAGTATGTCCAAAATACAGCACTTGTGTTAGATTTTTAGGAGTTCACAGTTAGATTTAGTGAGGAAACAGCTTGACATCCACCAGTGTTATTGAAATACTTATGGGCAGAACACAGGGAACGAGGCACAGTCAAAGAGGGATTAGTGTCCAACCACACCTTGTTGAGCACAGAGTTAAACAGGGATGGTCAACTTTTTGGTAAAAAATCTAGACCTCTCTTTTCAGTTGAGATTATCCCACGCTTGAACATTCGTTGTATCAAAATGATAAATCTTAAAGACTATTTTTCCCCGATTAACTCAGGAAGAGTCGGACAATTTCACCTATTTATTTCCCCGGCGTCATACCCTCAGTTTGTACACTAGTAAATATAATCGAAATATTTGAGTACAAATTGTGCTCAAAGGAAATAAAATCAATAGAAACCAAACGGACTCGGAGTGAGAGGATAGCAGTGTTAGGAATTTAAGATATAACAGTGAACCTGGTAACAAAACTATGTTAGTTTTAAGCCGCGACTTCAGAAAAACTTCAAAGAAGGCTCATCCCTGTTTAGTTGCTATGAGCAGGTCTCCATTGACCGAGGCCAAAGCACAGACGCACGGAGTCACGGAGTGAGGTGAGGGGGTTAGTGAGTGGCTTCACAAGCAGGGGTTAGCTCCAGCCATACAGACCCGACAGGAAAAGCGGGCGGGGGGAGGGAAGGGGGGTGCACTCTACCTGAGTCAGTGAAGAGGCTAGATTCGAGAGTTTCCACGCTACAATCAAGCCGAGGCTTCCACTTACAGGCACTCGAGCCCCCTGCGGCGGCGGCTGTGTTGAAGAGCGCGGTGACCGAGGGAGGCAGAACGCCCTTGTTGTGGTGTTGGTGGTGGTGCTGGTGAGAGGAGTTCGGACCCCCGTGGTTGTCCCCGGCAGAGTTGGGCATGAAAGCCAGGTGGGCTGGGGGCAGTGGTGAGGAGGAAGCCATGGGGTCCTTGAGCTGCCCACCTGCGTGTCGATGTTGCTGCTGCTGCTGCTCGTGGAACTGATGCTGCAAATTGTGCAGGTGCTGCTGTTGTTGGTGCAGCTGGTGCAGGTGCTGCTGTTCCTGGAGATGCTGAATGTAGCTGAGCTGATGGTGCATTGAACCCATAGGCCCCATCATCACACTCGGCGACGGCGCGGCAGGGCTTGCTCGACTCTCCTCCAGCAAATCTAAAAATATAAAAGCACAAAAAAGATGGTCACCATAATTTCACCAGTGTCCGAGGAAAGAAAGTTTTAGTTTTAGTTTTAGTAAGAGTTTTACGGCACTTGCAACACAATAAGGTCATATAAGTGCCGAAGATTAGAGGTGTTACAAGTGAGTAACAAACACAAAAAAGGAGGAGGGGAGATAAAGACGACAGATGTTTGATAGGAAAGAAGGAGCAAACCACACCAGAGCACCCGCCAACCACCCACGAGGAAAGAAAGGTAAATAAGCACAAAGGTGGTCATTTAGAGCAAGAAAACAACATGACAGACAGGAACAACAGCCAACATAACACTCGGCGACAGCGCGGACGGACTCGATCGACAATCCCCCGCAAATCCAAAGAGCACTGAAAAAACGTTAACTTAAATAATTTTACCTGTGTCTTTAGTTTAGATTTAGTAGACGTTTTTAGTTTAAACAAAAGTTTTACCGCACTTGCAACACAATAAGGCCATAGAAGTGCTGAAGATTAGAGGTGTTACAAGAGAGTAACAAACACAAAAAAGGACGGGAGATACAGACAATAGATTTTTTATAGGAAAGAAAGAGCAAACCACACCAGAGCAACTGCAAACCACCCACTTACAAGTAATTGTCTGCATAAAGAAAAGTGAGTAAAGAGAAGCACATAAATACAATAATGGCCATTCAGAATTGGGAAAATGTGAGACACACAGACAGAAACAACAGAGGGAAAGTAAAGAAGTAGGACCCACCAGTGGCACCTCCAACCACCCACACAGAAGTGGTCATTTAATGCAGGAGAACAACAAAACAGACAAACACAACAGAAGGAAAAATAAGAAGTAGGATCTTCCTGTGGCACCCCCCTCCCCCCACAACCTGGGAAGAAAAAGAACTCCACAACCTAAATTTATTCACAGCAAATCTCGGATCTTAACTAAACAGGATTCCTCTGGTCTTTAGCTCCAGACTAGAGAAGGCATTTGTCATTTCTAAGCAAACATCGAGGTTAGAGAGAAGAAAAATAATGGACAGAACAGGAGAAAACTTATTCAAATGCAAGGAATACATTGCATAAGTCTTCATGCATGAAACTCTACCATCACAAAAGCTGGGTCTCATTCTGGGATGCCACTGGAACTTTGGGAAAATAATCGATAAGACATTTAATATACACAACTAATATGGGGTTGGACAGAAGCAAATACTAAGAAAAACACATGTTCTTCTAACCCAATTTCGGTGAAAATAACCGGAATTTGTTAGTTTGCATGAGAAAATAGAAGCGCATCAACACAATAATGGCCATTTTGAGCTGGGAATAAGTAAGAAAGACAGATAGAAACAGCAGAGAGTGAAGATAAAAAGTAGGACCTTCCAGTGGCGCCCTCCAACTACCCCCAAAACAATGGTGAGGGAAAAAGGAAAAAATACCAAACCCACCCCCCTTGGAAAAACGGCATCCCTGCTCAAGCGTGCCAGATCTTACAGCCTGTGACTGACAAGATATATGAAGCAAATCCAACAGACGGTGTGGAAGGGGGTGGACTCACCTTGTGGTACCATGTCCTCCAGAGAAGATATGTCACTGGCGGCTTTGGCACTGGGACGGGCTGTGAAGAACTGTGTAAAGCGACTACCCTGCCGTACATTTTCTTCCTCCTAGTCAGAATAAAAAATGAAAGCAACATAAAATGATGTTCATGAAGAAAAATCATTTCACCTACAAGGTTCCCATTTCCACACGTTGTAACATTTTTACTTAACTGAAAGTCAGGAGGAAAATCGCTATATTTTACTAAGAACGGACCATGATTGTAACGTTGAAAAGAAATAGGGAGTACATTATGACAGCGAGTCCATCCACTGCCCCCACATGCAACAAAAGTAAACAGACACATAAAAATGTTTTAATCAAATGAAATGTTACAATTCTCTCAACTACAAAGCTACTGGGGAGTGTCCTGTGGGTCAAATGATTTTAATTTCCAGGGTTAAAATAAAAAGCCGATACCATTTTCATTCACGAAAGCTACAGATACTTACGGGGGGTAAATACACCTGAAAGTGCCCCCCCCCCCCCCCCCCCCCCCACACACACACAAAGAAAAAGAAAAAAAATTTTTTTTAATGGTAGGACTCGGTAAGGTTAAGCTAAAATAGGAACATTCACACAAAAAAGATCAATCTACTCTGGCCATGACCACACACCCAAACAGTAAGTACACACTGCATACCAAAGGTTCGCTAGCTTTAAAAATCTGCTCAAAGTCAAACAGAGCGTTGTGGTCGATGTTGTTGTTGACTGGGGACACTCGTGTGATGTGCTGTAGCAGATGCGGTGACGGCAGGCGCTGCTGCTGTAGCTGCTGCTCCAACAAAACATCGGACTGCGGAGGCAGCTGCTGCTGCGTCTGCTGGTCCACTTCTGGCGAGCTACATTGCGACGGGACCCCATCCGCTTCAGCTGCGTCTTCACTTGTCGACTCTGTTATACAACAACATTGAGGTTAGTCTGCATGAGTAAAAAGGACATTAACACAATAATGGGCATTTAGAGCACGGGACAGAGAGAAGGTTAAGAAGTAGGACCGACCAGCAAAGTGTCTCTTTGACACAGAAAAATTGAGGTTAGTAAGAAATGAGACATGATTCTTACCACCACAAATTCCACGTTCCAAGACTGAGCCCTATAGAAGCCACTGCTGATAGCTCCCAAGAAAAAAATTCAAATGCATTCATAACTGCTAATCCCAGAACTTGCTCTGTAAACTACCATGAAATAATTACCAACTCACAAAGATGCGCAGAGCAGTAAATTTTGCAATAATACTAATGTTTAAAGACATGTAAGCATATCTGTCAAACTTAAGCAAAAAAATATTTACTATCACAGCTGCAAACATTTCAAAACTAGAAAACAGAGTTTACCCTCGCAGCAGAGTAAGATGGTGACTATTAGCAAAGTTACACCCCTCCATGCCCTTCACCCACACACTTTTCTGCATTCAGTTAGTTCAACCTTTCAAAGCAGACCAGCAGCAATAATCTGAAAACGTTTCATAAAGATCTCTATGCACTGACACAACTCCAGTCGACCTATGGGTTTCATTCTCATATTATTCGCAAACCCAGTCTTGAAATTTCATAATTTTTCTCCAGCACAAGCAAGTTTGTAAGGAGCTGTGAAAGAAAACAAAGGATGCATATTTTTTGACACAGGGTACTCAGACCCTCAAAATATGTATCGATTACAATTCTTACATACTGGTTGGCGGTTATGTACTTTTACCTTTGCTTGTTTTTTCCTCGACAACTCTTCCAGGTTTCTTACGACCTCCTTTATTCTCTTCCTTTACAATGTTTGGATTTTCGTTTTCCGTATCTGTATCTTTCTCAAAGCCCCTGAGCTCTATGGTGTCCGTCTGACTTGTGGGACCTCCAGTAAACCATTCAGGCTCTTTCTCCTCTTCTCGGTAATTTGGTCTCCTCCGTGCTGAGAACAAAAGACATAAACACTCTGCATACATCAATCAAACTAGTGCTCCCCCTAGTCAAAACAGATTAACTTCTCTGAAAGCAGTAAACATACAGCATAGCCCTTTACATTTTTCCGAAGGGGCACTTAAAAAAAAAATCTCATCAGACCTCCAGGGTGTCAAGGGAAAAAAATATATTAAGATCATGAAGATTCAGTGAACAATGTACCACTTTATTTTTTCACCAAAAAACTGTTTTAAAATTCAAGTGACAGGCAACAAACATTAACAATTGAACTTTCTTTTAAAAAAAAGAGTGAGTAAACAAATTAACACTTACATGATCGGTCAAAGCCTCTGTCCCTGAAGTCACGGTCCCGCTGAAAGTAAACAGGAATAACAAAGCAAATTCATTAGACAAATTTAATTAGAGAACAACATAAGCTTTTGGATTAACTGTTGGAAGTCAGCATGTCTATTGACCAGATGCTGAATTTACGCCACTGGGGCGGCTCGTCTACTCAGTAGACGCTAGGGGTAATCTTTTTGTGGTAACAAATAGTTTCTCTTTTATCCTGTTCATTTTTTCATTGAAAGTTAGGAAAGGACATTGAATTATGTGCACTCTTATTTTTTAAAAGCGCATTTGACATCAATTTGCTGTGTGTTTTTTGTTTGTTTTTCATAGCTATTAGAGAGTAAACTAAAAATCAGCTGACCATAGCATCAAATTGATGAAGTGAGGTGAAGTGAATATGGGTTAAACAAGCCACTCAGATTTTTCTATTTAAGGTAGACAGTGAAGATAACATTTTTTAAGTCTGATATTGATCAGATTGTTATGCTTCATAACAATAACAGTGACTTCAATCAACCCAAAGCCAGTGACAAAGAAATGAATAGCTCTGTATCTAAAAGACCTAGTTCATCAACTGGTTCTCCCCAGTAGAAATTCGGACTTCTCTATGTCAAAGACCACCGACAACATGGATACTTACCCTGTTGTCCCTCTCAGGAAAGTCCCTGTCGCTGGTTCTACGGAATCGATCTGACCGTTCGAAGCGCCTGTCCCGATCCCGGTCCCGATCTCTGTCCCTGTCCCAGTCAGAGTCTCGGAAATCTCTGTCCCTCTCCCTGTCTCGATCCCTGTCCCACTCCCGATCTCTGTCCCGGTCAACACGTTCCCTCGGCCAGGCATACTCTCTGTCTCGATCTCTTTCCCGATCTCGATCCTCATGCCGATCACGTAAACCAGAGAAATCCCTTGAGTTCTCTCGGTCAATCTGTATCCGGCCGCTGCCCACTTTTCTCAATGGTCTGTCCCTAGTTAAAAAATAGGTATAAATTAGACACACTGGCAAAAACAACCCCTCCCCCCCAAAAAAAACCCACAAAAAAACATGCCAACACGGGGACTCACTGCTCTCTATTATGCGGGCCTAAGGCACTTCAGAGGTGTCAAAACATACTTCATCCATAGGTATCAAAATATACTCATGTAACACACACACATTCTATTAATCAGACCATCAGTATGCTCATATAAATGGCCATAACAGTACATATGAACACTCACTAATGTATGTCCACCAATGTGATATTATACAGAATTTTGTGGAACTCTGGACAAAGTCAAAGAAAAGAATCCTCTTGTACTCATCTCGGTAGATAAAGAAAAGCAACGTTACAATTATCAATTAAAGAATCTCCTACAAAGCAGACCAGCAACAATAATACGAGAAACAATAAAGATCTCAATGTATTGACACAACTACGGCTGACTTACTATAGGTTTCATTCTCAATATTATTCGTAAATCTGGTCTTGAAGGTTCATATGTTTTCACCTGCGTTTAAGTAAAAACAAAGAATGCTTTAAGAAGCCTCCTTCAACGCAATCAAAACCATTCACAATGTCAGGGCCAACAATGACCATGTAGAAAGCCAGAGGTACTACTAAAAGACATCTTCCATAAGCAGGAAGGCAAGAATTTTTTAACAATCACATTGCATACCTATCCCGATCCCGTTCTCTCTCCCCACGATCCCGCTCGCCCCGAGAATCCTCCCTGTCCCTCTCGGGTAAGCTGATCTGCCGGGAGAAGGGCGTGGGCTGCACATGACAGCCCGTGCCGAAGCTGCGTCGCTGGGGACTCAGTACGATACCGTCACGCTCGCTCTCCTTCAGCCTCTCCACAGGGTCATTCACTGAGGAGTAGAAGTAGCCTTTCAGATAATTTCAGATAATCAACCAACATCCTCATTAGAAAAACAGAAACAAGAGACTTCAGTAATGCCAGGTTATGTTTAAGTGGAGCATATGGTCCACCTGTTTACAGGGTTGGGTTGATTTAAATCAGTTGATTTTTTAAATTTAAATCAACTTGATTTTTAAAATAAAAATCAGTGATTTAAATCACTTTTTTTAACATTTATTTTTATTCAGTTTTTACATATTTCAGCATTCAGAATTCCTTTCCTTGGTTTCATAAAACAGATATAAGGTTTAGTAGACTGATATAATCATGCTTAAAAGTCTGCTTTCCCCCCTTTCACTGTAAAATAATACAGTATTCAATTTACTTTTTTTTGTGTGTCCATAATTGAAATCAGAGCTGGGTTGATTTAAAATCAGTTGATTTTTTTTATTTTGATCAACTTGATTTTTATTTTAAAAATCAGTGATTTAAATCAATTTTTTTTTAATGTATTCTGTTTTTACATATTTAAACATTCAGAATTCCTTTCCTTGGTTTTATTAAACAGATATAAGGTTTAGTAGACTAATATAATCATGCTTAAAAGTCTGCTTTCCCCCCTGTCACTGTATGTAGTAAAATAATACAGTATTCAATTTACTTTTTTTCATAATTGAAATTAGCATTTTCTTTTTCTTTTTAGACAAACACAAGCACGCACACACACACACTGTAATAAAATGCAAGTTTATCTATGCATAATTACCCCCTCCCCCCTTCCTTTTAGACTGACATTTTCTTCATTTTTTGTCCGTAGCCATAATTCACTGATATAGCAGATTACGGCTTTCTTTTGCAGTTGCTTAAATTAATCATTAGTTAAAATAAAGACAATGCATTCTGCACTAAAAGAACATACTATTAGCCACCAAAAATCCCGAACTGGGTCGACATTTTTTTTTAAATCAAAAAAATCCTATTTAAATTTTAAAAATCTTGATTTAAATTTTAAAAATCTTGATTTAAATTTAAAAAATCGATTTTTTATATTTTTATTTTTAAAAAAATAAAAATCACCAACCCTGCCTGTTTACAAAAAGTGTCTATCACTATGGCCAAAAGCGGTTGAAACAATTTGAAATCACTAAAAAAAAAAAGTGGAAGGACAGACCAAACCAGAGTCCTCCCTCTCAGAAAGAGAAAACTAACACAACTGAAGTCTCAACTTAGGATTTAAGAGCATGAACAAATAAATTTATAAAAATCATTTCCAATATTTCTCAACGTCCAGATGTAGATGGTCTTTACACAACTTAAGGGGAAACGTACACTCCTGGAAATATTTTCTAAACAAATGACTTCCATTCCCTTTAAGTAATTGTACAAGAAGTTCAAAGATAAATAGGATGTATTTAGGGTGAATTTGTTGAATTTTCTTTTTAAAAAATGGGTCTGTGCGGATGCCATCTTGGATTTTCAAAACCAGTTTCTTAGTAGGCCTAAAGATAAATTTCAAAGAAAATATTGAAACTTCAGCCTGAAATTTGGCACACAAGTGCAAACCTCTATGGACTGTGGATGTATGTGTAAGGATTTTGACCTATCTTGAAAAATAAAAAAAAGTGAGCCCAAAGTAAATAGACCCCCGAGAGTCAGTTGAAACCATGGAGAATATGTTACAAAAAATTTGAATACTTCCACCAGTTACCAATATTTCCCAATTTCCTCATATATATCCCGAGAACAGATCTTAAACCACCTGTATGCCAAATTTGAAGCTTCTAGCTTCAGTAGTTTTTGAAAATTCCTTACATCAAGGAGGCCACATATGTGAAAAAGCAGGTTTTGAGAGAAACAGAAAAAACAAGAATTATAAAAATGATTTTTAGTTTAATATGCACTTTACTTTTCAATCATTATTCTAGGTCATTCAGGGTGTTTTTTCAATAGTTTAGTTATTGTGATCCAACAGCACAAATGTTGAAAAATGTATTTTCGCCAAAACAAAAAAATAAATATTTTGACAAATTTCATCGATATTCTCTGGGACCGCCGACCCGCGTTTCCCCTCAATATCAGAGGCAAAAGGGGCACAGATAGGGAACTTACGGGAGGGTCGTCTTTTCGAGTCTCTATCGAGCTCCAGCACTCGCCGCCGCTCCTTGCCATCTCCAAGAGTCAGAGGGGACGACTCCCGGGACCCAAACTTGGCCTTGTACCATTTGTCAGGGTCCCACTTACCCTCCTCCCTACAAATAAGACAGGAAAAAAAAAAATCAGCATTGAAAAATCGAAGGTAAACAGAAAAAATAAAAAAATAAAAAATAAATACTGCAGAACACAACTAGAATTTGAGACAAAAGTCGCCAAAAACATCTCGAAAAACCCAAGAACTACAGATAAATCCTTTCTTGTATCTCACTGAGCCCTGGTGCTGAACATATTGTCAGGACCATGTTTTCTAATTTTTTCCAAGTTGGCGATCTAATAATGCGATGTAATTCTTGTACAAAGCTTTAATTAAACCATTTTTCTTACCACAAATGAAGATTTTCGAAATATAGAAGTAGCTTAGATGAAAAAACTACTTTCACTTTCGTGATCTACTAAGAGTCCCAACGTTTTTCACTTCGTTTATTATCATATCATTATGAAAAAATACTAGATCGAGGTGTGTCAGAGATCTGAGCAAGCCAGCATCATAATAAATAGGAAAAATATAGTACAAACATCTTGATATAGTACTCATATTTTTGAGTAACAATAGTTGAATTTTGGTGTTGCTTTACATTATATTCAGAGAACAGAAACATTTTCTGAAATCGAAACTAGCGCGATATTTATACAAATTTGTGCGTGTGTGTGTGTGTGTGTGTGTGTGTCTGTGTGTGCGTGTGTGTGTGTGTGTGTGTGTTTGAGTGTATCATAATAATATATAATTAAAAGAAATGATTCATTATCTGAACCATGTAATGAAGCCTATACCCGGTAGCTTATCATTTACATTTCTGAAAACTTTGGGGAAAAGTGTGAAAATGGCCAGTTGTATAGATTGACCACCACCATTCCATCATCCATGACTAAGGTGAGTAAACATTTTAAGGACGTAAAAAAACAACAACAAAAACAAGAATTCAACAAAAATTTCCAGTATGCAGACCATTATAGGGATGGACAAAAAATTTTTTTTTAGAAATGAGAGAAATGCGAAGTATTGTACTCACAAAAGTAAGATGACCAGCTTCAAATTTGTTGGTCATCAATACTCAGCACGTTCCCACAACAGCCACCACACACAAATTAAATACCCAAACTATATAATCTACTCACATTCATCATCAGGAAACTAAAATAAAAACAGCAATTGATAACAATGGCCAAAATGTTAATAAAGAAGAAAAGAACTTACGAGTCAAAAGCTCTTTCTAAAACAGCAGGACGCCGCTGAGCAGCTGGACTCTTTGATATCTCTATGAGTTCTTCCTGTTGATCAGACATGAGAATACCAAACATGAAAATCACTTTTTCTCCACCCACAATATCAGAGAATTTAAGTTTCCAATTGCTTTAACAATTAAAACAGCTGAGCAAAGTGGTTTTTAATAAACTGCAGACAAAATGAATATCTTTAGTATTCAATAGGTGGAAAAGCCATATACATATTAGCAATGCCAATCGGGCTTCCGCATGCGGCGAACTTTTGGTCCCTGTTCACGGGTGAATTTTTGGACTGGGTAAGAACATAAGTGGCTAACTTTCTCAACCTTGGTCTACTATATTTCTGGACCAATGTGAATGAAACTTGGCAACCAATCAGAAAATAGGGCAAACTAATGATATGCAGACATTGAAGTTAGTAGACATAAATTATCCTATAGTTTTGGTATCGGAAACACTTTCGTATTGGGTATATCGAAAACTATAAGGAGCTTGATTTTTAACGTCGAGAAGGTAAGAAACCTGTTTTCCTCTAGAGTGTCCTCAAATTTGAATGTTTTGTGTCAAGTACAGTGGAAACCTAATATAACAGGGATGGTGGAACCAGAGAAAAAGTCCTGTTATGTCAGATCCCTGTTAAATCAGAAATGCAAGGACAGTAAGCATTTGTGGTCTAATCCCGCTGTATTTATTCATGGGTAGTTTCCCTTGCAACAAATACCCACAAACAGCACACCACAGCCCTCTCTCGTGGCCATGTGGTAGGCCTGCCTATGACACATTATGCGTGCGTTTAGCTAGGCTTAGAGCTAGATCGAAGTCTGCAGTACACCGCAGCCCTCTCTCGCTTCACCTGCTGCATGTGCTTGCAGTGGTGTGGGTTGCTTCAACACTGTTATACACTCTCTCTTTTACTTTTTGCACATTGATAACCAGCTTTTGCCCCTGCTACAACTGATTGGGCTCCAATGAGGCCATGCGATTGCCGATAACTTTTAATAGAAACAAAGAGTAGGGAAAAATGGGGATATAAAAAATCTCTGTTATTACAGGGCCCGTTATAATATGGTTTCCACTTTACTCGTTTAGACCCAATCATTAATGTACCACAACCCCCTGTCCAAAGTGGCTTCGCAAGGAGACCGGCCATTTTCCCCTCACTCCCAGCAAATGTATGTGACCTACAAATCCCCGCATGACCATTTCAAGCCCGTTCATTGGTCACTTGAAATAGGGCAATGGCGGGCGGGCGCGCGTATCCGACTATTTTTCTCTCTATTCCCTTGTAATATTATAATGGGGGTATTCCGAGGCGGGCTTATCTTGCCTCTGGGTTTTCGCGTCTCAACGGGAAAAAAGGGTTTTTAATTACGGCATGCTGGATTGAATTAAATTTTATTTTATGGTTGGCATGGTCTAAAGTCATCAAAGAAAGCTTTGCCATTATTTACTCACGCTGCCAACATATTCTTAAAGATCCCACGTTGTGATACGATGCTATAAATAAAATGCTTTCATCTCGACACCTCTTTTTCACAAAATCATATTATGCACACCAAACTTTTAATCATGACAAGATATCTATGAAATGGTTACTAAATCAGACTGCAGAAATGATTTCTCCACCCAAAAACACATCAGGTAGCCAAGTATCTTTCTAACACTCTAATTAATTACTGAGACATCGTCGTTTTTAGAATTCAAAAACCATAATTCTTAGAATTGAAAACTTTCTTAGGATCAAAATAAAAAAGGGCTCAAGCAAAAATTTATATTTTCATTGGCCTTGCTGTATACAGCCGAACCTGTGCAAGACTGCCACCCATTGTCAAGGAGAAAAGTGGCCTTATAAGACAAGTGGCCGTCTTAGGCCGGACTGATTAAGATGAAGAAAACAAACCATTCGTTTCTGAGGTCCCAACCGAAGGTAACCGCATTGTTGTTGTTGTTATAGTTGTTCTTTTCGCTGTTTTTTTCTTTTATTGCTGCTTTTGTGCAAGGGTGACAATAAAACTAAATGTGTCCGACAAGGAGGACCGAGTGCAATGGTAAAACACACGGGTCGCCACCACTCAAGAGTTCATGTTGACATCCATTGTTACTTTGTTACAGACTGGGTAAACAGTGACCACTCATCTCACTTACGATTTGTGTATGGATTCTGGGCGGGGCTTGTGGGTTTTGAGGGATCACACGCTCACCTCACCAGCAGCTGAAAATTTGTTACCTATCTATTTGTCAACAGTGGGAGGGGCCTACGAAACATGATCGGTTGGAGGGACTACCTAACAACAACGACAGGTAATAGGATTATGAAGGCTCGCCCACAGTGCACAAATTATGACAAAACATAATGGAGTCACTAAGGTGGCAGTCTAAGACAGGAGTTATGGCTTAGTGTGATAGGAGTTGTGTGTCAAAAAATGGTGGCCCCGGCCACGTTGGACAGGTGCCCGTTTTACACAGTTAAATTATATAGAAAAAACGCAAGGGGGGAAATGGAAAGTTGCAGTCTTATAGAGGTGGCGGTCAGAGCAGGTTCGACTGTATATTAAGTCAATATAATACATCTGGTCTAGACAGTAATTATAACAATGTCATGGAAACTAGCAAGTCTCTGAAATTGAACTTTTTTTCTGCAGGCATTAAGATATTACCGTAGAATACTGATGTGCTGGTAAGGGCTTTGGCGAGGTGTTAGATTCCTCATCCTCTATCTCTTGGTCGACGTCAGTCTTCTCAGACATCGCCAAAACCGATGCCTATTATAATAAATCTGGAGGAAAGAAAAAGAAAACAAGATTCAAGGACTATAAACAAACATCCTGTTGATATTATTACACATTTCCATGAAGTCCTCCAAATCCAAATTCATAATATTGGTCAAGTTTAAAATAGACATGATACTTCTTTTTTTTAAATGAGAATTTGATGCTTTAAAGTTTTATTTTTGTTGTGTCACCGACAATTTTGGATCAAGAATCCGAGTCACTTTCAAAATCAAGATTGTTTAAATTCCTCCACAACAACACATGCTTGCTTTTCTGCATTCCAAGGCCAGTAGTCGTCTTACAAGTTTTAAAAAAACGGTCCTTAAACTAATTTGTTCTCTCAATTTAGAAGATTTGCTCGAGTTTTTTGCTCTTGAGAACAATTTGATTTCCTTTTCAACGCATTACCTCCAGAGGAAGGGGGTTTCCCACTATGCCAGAGCCCTCTTTTGGTATAAAACCTAATGATAACGATATACAGGTGTCGCATTCAACCGGACCGGTTCGTTGTCCTCGTTGGATCCGACCTGTCATTGAACGTGACTAAGGCTAAAGTAAAGAAAGGAGACAAGTTATTATTATTACACGATGTACCAATACCAGTAATTAAAACAGTTGTTCCCCCTGATGACGAAAATCTCAAACAGCATCAGTGTGCACGTATTTGAGCTGTGTTCTGACCATCATTTCTGCATTTTAAACTATTTTTTTTCGGAACATTTCTCGCGTGGAAACATACCCTCTCACATCTAGGCCTAGATATCTACAAAGTAAAGGCAGGAGCTTGAATTTTTTTATCAGGGGAAAAAAAGAAAATTGAAAAGAAGGAAGGTCTCGATCTAGACCTATCCATCCAGTTTCACAGAGCCCGCATCGCGTTCCCACCCAACCACCCTCTCCCATCCCTACCGTAGGCTAACCCTCGCCCATCCTCTTGGCTTTGGAGCCCATATTAAGAGGCACACTAGATCTAGCAATACAATGTGTTGGGAATCAATGATGGGCCTTGTGCTCCGCGTGAGATGGAGAGAAAGAAGAACAATTCTTCGCTTTTCAGGCTGGTAATTGCTTTTTTTGGTTATCGCGACCTCGTTGAAATCAACTTCAGTCTGTTTGCAACTTCGTTGGAGCTGACGTACATTTACAAAGAGATATATATATAGTATAGAGGTAAAAAATCGGGGATTAAGGATTGCCTCTTTGGAGCTGACTTCTCGTTGAATGCAACACCCATTGAACATGTCACTAAATCGGTTATTAAATCCAAAGAATTTAACCTATTTTTGTAGTTCGTCATCTAATGAAAGAACTTCCGAAAGAAAGACCTGTTTTCAGCAGTTGCCGAAAATTAATATTCATTTATAAATTATTATAAACGTTTATTCATTATGATTCATTATCATTGTTGAAAAGGAATGTGACAAAACCTCTGTCATCGACTCAACAGCAGCACAGCAGTTCTACCTGCAAACCGCTGGGAGCAGCTTTCCAGTATTAAGGAGCTAAAATGACAATTAATATTCTTGATCAAACAACGTTTTCCAGTCGTAGCAAAAATTGAAAGATAAAAAGAATGAGAATAAAACTTTACTTTTACACGCATGCAGATGCACTGCTTTAGGGAGCCAGACTGCTGTATTTTTTGCTGCAGAACATGGCCACTCAAACCATTGCAAATTAATTGTTTTCAAGAAAATATCAAACCTTATTTTGGAAAAATCAAAGTCAAATTATGGTGTACCCCCTTAAACTTCCCAGTTTGTTAAAAAAAAAGTGAAACGTAACTACTTAATGAAATCCTGGAGTTTTAATGTGATCTTTTCTATGATCGTAGAATCAGGTATTTTCATAGAATCACTCCGGTTTCGCGTCACATCCACTACCGGAAGTCAGCTCCTTCACCACTTTAGTGCCATCAGATGACGAATGAAGTCAGTTGTTTTTTTCTTTAAGGCTTAGTTTTAGCCTTTTTTTGTGTGTTTATGCATGCTTTTGAAGTCATTATGGGAGTTTCAGGGGGTCTCCCGACAGGCGAGTACTTAATAGCTGTGTAGTGTGTGTGTATGGGGGGGGGCCGGGTGTTCACAGGGGTTGGACCCAGAAAAGATGTACTGTGTAGTCACTCAGCTGGACCGCATCACTTTATCGATCGATATCTGGGCCAAGACAACTTGGTAACTATTTATAAATTTGACCAGCAATTTACTACATCATTTCTTTACAAGGGCCTGCGCACTTCCCGGTCGAAGAAAAAAATTCTCTATAAATTTAGTCTTCAATTTGGTCAAAGTAAGCCCGCCCTATAGAAATCTATAGGGCCTGCATGCTTCCCGGGTAGCCCGACTCGCGCCCTATATATGGCCTGCATGCTTTCAGGGTTTATTTTGCCCAGGCCTAAGCTGTACCATTCCACAGGGATTCGTCAGGTTTCGAAGGGTTTTATCATTAAACAATACCGCAAATGAAATATTACAAAACAATTGGGCCTTTAAAGTAGCAACGCTAAATGGGCTTTCACGCGCGGCAAAATTTGGTCCCCATTTGCGTGCGAATTTTTGGACCAGGTGAGAACGTAAGTGACTAACTTTCTCAAATTCAATCTGCGCTATTTCTGGACCAATGTGAATGAAACTTGGCAACCAATCAGAAAATAGGGCAGTCTAATGATATGTAGACGAAGTTTGTACACATAAATTGACCTATATATTTGGTGTCGGAAACACTTTCCTATCAGGTAAACAGAAAACTATAAGGAGCTTGATATTCAACATCGAGAAGATCTATCTTTCCTCTATACTATAGTGCCCTCAAATTCTAAAGTTCTGTGTCAAGTAGTTGTTTAGAATTTATCATAAAGGTACCACTACCCCCCTACCCAAAGCGGCTTCCCACGGAGAAAGGCCATTTTCCCCTCATTCCCTCAGCAAATGTATGTGACCTACAAATCCCCGCAAGACTATTCCGAGCCCGTTCATTGGTTACTTGTAAAAGGGCAATGGCGGGCGAGCGCATCCGGTTGTTCTTCTCTGCTCGCCTCGAAAGGAAAAAATGTTTTTTAATTGTACGGCATGCTAGATTAATTAAATAGACCTGCATGTGAGCCTCAACCAGATTGTCTGAAAATTTTGTGCACCCCCCCCCCCCGCCCCCCAAAAAAGCCTTAGTGGGTGTCATAAGGAAGGACATCCGAGTAACGAGCGACCACCCCAACAAACACAATAAAGAAGAGACCTAACCCTAACCCTACCCCAAAAAGAACCTGCATCGGGCCTCATCTTAAAGGGATTCGCATGTAAAAAGGCCAAAACAAGTACTAAATGAAAAAAAAAATTTAATTAAAAAACCACACTCCAAAACAAACAAGGAGCATATATTCTAGATTCTTGATCTAGATCTAGATCTAAATTTTATCTATATGGCTTACATCTACATTGCTATAGGGTTTGATACAATAACACAATAGAATTGGAATATGAATCCTCCATATAGACTATAGATCTAGATCTAGATATCTAGATCTACTAGACTAGTAATCTAAAAAATAAATCTAGATATAGATATAGAAAAATCTAGATCTAGATCTAGATCTTGAAGAACAAGTGAATAGGAATAGATTCTAGGCTTTGAACTAGAAATCCGCATCCGATTCCGAACAGAGGGACTCAGCTGAGACTATAGATCTAAATATAATAATAATAATAAATAATTCACGCACCTGATGAAATGCTTATTTTTACCAATATTAATATTACAGCACAACCTATGATAGGGTTTGACACAATAGAATTGGATTATGAATCCTCCATTGAGGTCTATAATGATCTCTATATAAATCTAGATCTAGATTCTATTAGAACAAGAGAGTCGGACTTGAATGAATCCACACGATCTGAACAATTGAATTAGTCAACAAACGAAATTGAAAATGGCCGCTCGAGCACGAAACTGAAAGTAGATAATTTAAGTTGTCCTTTTTCGTATTCGCATTTCTACTTAGGTTCCGACAATTATGTCGGAAACGCCGACGTCGGCAGTCGGCGGTGTGCGCGTCGATGGTCGGCACGAAAACGAAAGTGCCGACGAAGCCGACGGGAGAAAAAGGGGTCGCTGGCAGTCGGCCAGGCCTCGCACTACGCACATTGACTGATACTAGGCGGGCCTAGCGATAGCATCGGCCGGTTCGTGGGTCGGGTCGCGATTGTCGGACTTCAGACGATTGTCGGCAAACATGCAGGTCTAATTAAATTATATTTTATGGTTGGCGAAGTCTAAAGTCATTTAAGAAAGATTTGCCAATATGTGGGTAATCCACATTTTGCCGACCTTTACAACCCCATGTAACTTTTTTAAATTTAAGAACCAATTCTTAAAATTCAAAAAGCATACTTCTTGGAATAAACTCTTTCTTAGGTATCAAAAAAGGGCAAAAGCGAAAAATTATATTTTCATTGGCATTGCTAAAAGGCCAAAACCCCTTTTTAATTTACAGTGAATAGATCTAATAAACATTTTTATTTTAAAAATAGATTAAAATGAAAAAGAAAAGTGCTTCAGAATAAAAGAGTGTAATTTAACTGCCGAGAGTTGGGTCTTATTACCTTACATTTTTATTTTTTAACAAGTCCAAGACGGTACAAACGCAACCTGGAAAGAATAATAATTTTTTTTAAACGGAGTAGCTCTAGATGTGTATGCTCCTGTACGCATAGCCTCGCAGCTATGGGTACAGTCCTCCATTTTACATTATATAACAAGCTAGGCTTGGTAGGCGGATCATATAATAACCAGATACTACAAGTGGACAAACTTAACCTGGAAGCGTGCAGGCCCTTTATAAAGGCCGTGACTGCGTAGCCAGGCTACCCGGGAAGCGCACAGGCTCTATATATAGGGCTGACCTACTTCGACCGGGAGGCGCGCAGGCCCTATATAAAGTATAAAGGGCATAGACGTTGACCTTTTTTAATGGAAACTTTCAGTATTCCTTGGAAAATGACGTAGTAAATTACAGGTCAAAGTCATAAATAGTGACCAATGACTTTGCAAGTTATCTGATCTCTACCTTGTAGAGCGTCTCTTGGCCAAGATATCGATCGATAAAGTGACGCGGCCCAGCCAAAGATCGTTAATAGTAAGATAGTTCACTCCTTTGAGTCAATTAAAAGAGTGTCCACAAAATCCGGTGGCTTCCTCTTCGGAGGGCCGTACGCAAAGCTATAGCACAAAAAAAAAACCCACACATAAATGCAAAAAAAAACAACATAAGAGCGGACCATTGCACAGCTAGGCTCAAAAGTAGTTCCAGCTTCATTCAGTGTTGGGTCCACAAAGTTCAATCTTTGAACCTTCAATCTTACTGAATTTTTTTTTTTTTTTAAGCAGATTTCCATAAAAATACGGAAGCTTAGAAGCACTAGGCAAAGGTTGGGAGGGGTGGGGATAGCATGGTAAGGAACCTAACCCTTACTAACCTGGATCCAACAAATAGACTGCATAAAACACAGTGCACTCAATCAGGTGTGTCAGGTTATATCACTAATCAGGGAGTGCAACTCAGGTCTAACTTTCACAATTCCTCATACAGAGTGCCCACTACGAATGGGATCGGCAGATCACCTGACACGGTCGCCTCAAAAACATGTAAATTGGTTATCAGTTTCAGGCAATCAAGTCCAGCGATCGGCCATATCCAGCCACACAGTGGGCACCCTATTAGCCTACTGAAGTGACTGATTCGGACTCTACTCTATTCGGACTCTGAAATGAGTCTAGCATGACGTCCTTTATACCTCCGACCCTTGTTCCTAAATATTTCCAGCATTTATGAAATTTTTTTCGATTATAATGATAACAATAGACGTGAGCTTTAATATCCAGTTACTAGATCTCTATCTAAACTGGCCATCCCTGGGTTATTAGTTTGAACAGAACAACTAAGTTGAGTTGACCTTGACGGGGGCAAAGTTAATTAGGTCGACCAATGAGATTGCGTGTGTAGCAATATCGCACTCTCTGCTTGCTGTGGGAAATGGTGTTAGGAAGAGGCCACGGCTGTCCATCCTGTGCGATGTGACTTCAAAAATAAATAATTGTAACAGAAAAACAACAAAATGAAATTAAATAGATGTATGTGGAAAGACCATTGGTGGTGGAAGTACAGTGGAATGCGGATTCAACGAGGTCACCGGGCTAGACCTAAAATCTCGTTGAATCTGAGTGTTCATTATAGCAAACATGAGGTTTTGTGCAGATAATTACAGGCACTGAGCAAGTAATGTGTAAAGAGAAGTCCCAAGTAGTGCCTGAAATGCCTGCATATTATGAGCTGTGTAAAAAAAAAAGACCGATTCGTTCAGAATCTGAGAATCGCGCCTGTTTCATCTTGATTGTTTACCAAAAAGTTGTGTTCCTGTGTAGAGCCTAGCATACGACAACTTTTGATTACATAGACCAGAGCACAATTCATTATATAGATCTGACGCGTTTGTATCTGCGACGTTCAACGCCGGGACCACTATTGCCCCCCCCCCTCCCCGACACCCATGCAGGCTGCCCATCCGACCCCGACACACGCTAGAGTAGACACGTGCGCGTGTCAACAACGCATGTGTTGGTATGAAAAAAGACCGCTGATTGGTCGTTTGCAATCGGTTAAGTGAATAATGGTTCATGATGCAGGTGCAATGGATGGTTTCTGGGAATCCGGGAATAGATAAAGTTCGTTCTGGGAGAAAAATTAGCGAAGCCAGGTCTGCGGGGGCTGTTCACCCTGGAAGCGACCTCGTTGAATCCGAGCTCGCTAATTTAGGTGCTCGTTGAATCCGGGTTATTTTTATTGATTTTAAAGAAGAAAAAAAAACGGGGAATCCATCTCATCTCGTTGAATCCGAGTTCCACTGTAATGATGACACTGTGGTAGTGGTGGTGGAAAGACCATGAGTTGTCGGTTACCATAGGCCTACTTAGACACTGCCATTGGGTAGTCTAATGAGAGTGCAGTCTTTTTACTTTCTAGATCTAGAGTCTAGTTCCAATTCTGGGTTATGTAAAGGCCGTCATTATTCGGACTCGAGTCCGAATAACATTTTTTCATATTCGGACTAGAGTCCGAATAAAAAAATTTCATATTCGGACTCGAGTCCGAATAAGAAAAAATGCTATTCAGACACGGGTCCGAAAAAAAAGGAAGTGTCTTCCAGAAAGATCTAACATTCAGTGCTTCCAATTTTCCGCCATTTTTTAGTTTCCCCCGCACCTTGTCTGCCGATCCGATGCCCGCCGCCTCGTTGATACGCCCCCCCCCCTCCCCATGTTTCCCACTTTCTCTGTTGTAGAAAAAGGTAAAATTGAAGATTAGCAGATCTCCTGGCACCTGCATATTATGAGCTGTGTAAAAAAAAAAGTTGTGTTGCTGTGTAGAGCCGAACATACGGCAACTTTTGATTCCATAGACCAGCGCACAATTCAGTACGTAGATCTAGGTCAAGACTAGCTTATTATTGTAATGATCAGTTGCCGGGGGGGAGGGAGACTGACGCGTATGCGACGTTCAACGCCCGGATCGATAGCCCCCAAACACGCACACACAGCCACACGTGTGCAGGCGCTCTAACTTTTCAGGCCGGCCTCAAATTCATCATAAGATAAACTCGGCTCCGGCACAATTTAACGCCATTTTGCCCAAAGAGATCTCAGTCTCTACCCAGCCTGAGGCGAGTCATGAGTGAGGCAGGACAGGAAGCCGGAGTCACGAGTCGCAGGAAGTCGGAAGTGATGTCATGCTGGACAAGAATCAGAGTCCGAATAACATTTTTTCATATTCGGACTCGAGTCCGAATAGTCACTTCGTTATATTATGTAAAATCCCCCGCCGACAGTCATATTATGTAACCCCCTTACACTCACATAACTCACAAAGAAGCTGAGTCCGAATAAATAAAACATTTTTTTCGGGCCCATGTCTGAATAGATAAAACCCATAAATTCGGACTTGAGTCCGAATAGATAAAAATTATATCCGGACTCGGGTCCGAATAGAGCTGGCCTTAGCCTACACTTTACTTCAGGTTAGCCTGGGTAAAGACCTACTAACCAGTTTCACAGAACAAACTCGGTAAGACCTTCTTCAGGGGACAGTATTAGTATTTCCTGCCTGAGGCTAAACCTCCCTGAGCTAATCTCAAGTAACTTGTTTATTAGCAAGCGGAGTCAACAAGCAGAGATACGGAACATTGGAAGTGGCTATTCTCATCCGGGGTGAGAATAGAAATACGATCGACCTCTCACCCCGGGTGAGACTTGCGACCGTAGGCTATTCTCACCCGGTTTGAAACAAGACCTGTTTTTCCTAATTTCTGAATATTTTCTATCGATGTGGATGATCAAATTGATAAAATCCAATAAAAAATTACGTTATAGCACAAAAGTAAGCTAATTTGATCGTCTTCAAAGTTGCTATGGCTATTTCACTGTTCGAATCGAGCCGAACTACGCGGGTCGCCATTTTGTTTTGCCCGGAAGTTCTCGTAAGATCTACTCCTCCCCTCTCTCTCTGTCTCTTTCTGAATACTGTCTATCGGTGTGGACGATCAAATTGACCAAAACAAAGTTAAAAAATGATGTTAAAACACCAAAGTAAATTAATTTGGTTGTCTACAAAGATGCTACGGCTATTTAACTTTTCGAATCGAGCCGAACTACGCGGGTCGCCATTTTGTTTTGACCGGAAGTTCTCGCGTTACTCCTCTCTCTCTCTCTCTCCACTGCCCACAGACAAAATTGTACGCTTTTAGTAGGCTACAGTTGTAATGGAACGTTTGTTCACGGCACAGAATTCTACAATTTTTCTGTTATCACAGTGTAGAATTCTGTGGTTTAGGGTGAACGCAAAATTTGTTGGCCTAGATCTAGATCTAGGCTATAACGGTGAGCGCGCACCGGGTGAGAATAGCCAAAAGACTCGCCTGCACTATTCTCACCCCGGGTGAGAATAGAGGTGGCCCAGAGATACATCTCACCCTGTCTGCTGTTATTGTGATTGAGGCTGAAGGTGAATGTGAGCTTTCAGGCTGAAGTATGCTAGATCTAACAACTAAAGATTCAACCACTGAAGTAAGTCAAGATCTAAACGTCTCAGACTAATTTTACTGACTTATCAAGCGCTCGGCGAGTTAACAGAGCTCAAGTGAGAACTTGAACGGGTGCGAATCTTCGACACTGGGCCTTGTGCAGCAAATACAGCTACGGTCGTAACGGTTAACTGTGTAGAGCCTAAATCAAGCTGGTGTAGCTGCCTTTCATAGCATTCATGTGCCATGAGCAGTGCACGGACGTCCAAAACTCGAAAATAAAAGATAGGACTCACATCATAAAAACAATGGAAATATTTCTGTTGATGTTGTTAGACTGTTTTACCTTTATTACCTGTAATGTTTTGATGATGTTTGCCACAAGTTACACCAAAAAGAAAAAGATCAAACTATTAAATTTTACGCTGCAACTTAACTTCATGTATTTACAAACTGATATCTACAGAAAAGAAAAAAACGCGATGAGCACGACATGTAAAATGGAAAGCTAAAGACACTCTGTTTCAAACAACTTCTGACAACATCCATGAAAGCACAATCATGTCGCGCATGCGCAAATTCGGGGTCACCGATTTTTTTCGTTTGGCTGTTAGTAAAACAGGAATATTCTCAAAATTTGCACACAAATCTTATGTCGTGCATACATTTATTTTGCAGATTAGGACAAATTTCTACTTGAATAGCACAACGCATGAAATAAGCCTCATTTGATCAATTTTTTAGCACAAATTCAGATTCATTTCCGGGTCATGTTGGCATCCATGTTTGGTCACGTGGGAGTACATTGCCTCAACGCAACAATCCTCTCTCATAGATTTTGCCAATTTGCCGTTTTACATTTTACAGTTGACTGCTTGACACTGACATTTGACGTAGATCTACAACAACGCAGTAGGCATACACTCAGCCATGCTTTTAGAGCTCATCAGGGTGCGCGACTCAGGTCTATACTTTACATTAGAGTAGATCCCTTACTTAACTGTACTTTAGTAGTTACACTGACAAAGCAACAAACTCAAACAGACTGACACGACCTCCAGAGAGAGACCAAAACTCTGTCTACGGGGAAGGCCACACAAAAGATGGATGGGGGAGTCAAAGGGAACCCAAAGAAACTACGTCTCAGGTGAAAGAGCAACATGGTTGGCCAACCTCAAAAATACTGCATCTCCCCTCGACGCTCATATAGATCTAGCTCCAGAGAGTGAACAAGTAAAAAGTACAGTTGGCACAACCTTTCGCGTTAAATTCATGGTTGATATCGACTAACTAAATCTATGCTGAACATTTTCAATCTGACATTTCCATATCATATGCACATGCATTCAAGTGCAATTTAATTCCACCCCTTAGACAACACAATTCAAATACCATTTACCAGTCCATAATATGTCCAATCCTTGTATTATGCATTTCATTTTGATTGTGCTGTCCATATATAATATATAGCGCACATTATGCAGGCATGTACGTGTGCCTCTGTATAGAAGCATGACAGTTTTCCTACCGGGTGGGGTAAATCTACTTGATTAGGTTCAAATACAATTAGTCTATATCCTAAAGTTCAATAATACAGTAGTCTCCACCTAAGATCCCACCGCTTACGATACCGGTTCGCTTAAGATCCCGTTGTTTTAGGAAAACAGAATTTTTACTATACAAAAGTCACCCCTAAGATCCCGCTCTGATGGTCTACATTCGGCTAAGATCCTGCATTTCAGATCATAATTTGCTATTTAAAAAAAAAAAACGGGTGGGCACAGCCGATCAACCAAGAGTAAAAAGTTGAGATCAATAAACTGTCCGTCGCGTCAAAGATCAGCCACTATCGTGAATGTGATCACATATATGTTGTAAAACTCGATGAAGGGATACAATGTTTGCCCCAGACGGGATCATACCGGGGTGTGAACTGACCGACGCGTTTGTTTTCCCCACGCATCGCACTCACACCTGAGCTCGCCACCTAAGCTTGCATCACTCGCTGGGTGGGTAGGGCCTACGAGTTCGCTCCTGGCGGGATCACATCGAACCGTGAACTCCTCCTTGACCATTGCAGGAGTTGTCTCTACTCCTGAATTTGTGAGACAGACTGAATTTTAATTGGTGCGTTCACAACGTAATGGTGTGTAACGACAAAGGCGGTTTGGAGGGGGGGGGGGGGCTCAGTCAGAGATGGAAAGCTATACATTTTTGGCAGGTAAAGAGGAGGGGCAACTGGATAATCGTAGATCCTGAGACTCATGATAGGATAATAAGTGAAAATGGCTCGCCTCATGCCACTATGCACCGTGATAGGTCATCAAGGTTAACCACTCTTTGCTCGCCATATGCCATAAACCCACCAAGGGGGCACGTCAGCTCATTGCAGAGTGGAGGGAGACCATTTTACCGATTGTGAGCCTTAACATGGGTCAACATAGATTCTTTCCTGGGTTCGTCGGTAAAGATCCCTGTTCGCCTAAGATCCCGCGTTTCCTTGCTCCCGAGCACCGGGATCTTAGGTGGAGACTACTGTATCAGATGAATGCTAATTCATGCTATCATCAGAAAAATATTAATTTATTTTTCCATCCTTCCAAATTACCCACCCTCTTGGAGATTCTTTGCCCCACACTTGAGTGTTGAGGCACATAACTGCTAATTGAAATATATATCTGAGTGCCTTCGAATGTTTTAATCTGCAATAATTTTTCCTGCAAAATGCTACAAGGGGCCTATTGCAAAAGATCATTTGAGTTTAGATCAATCTTTTGATTCAAGTTTTAGAATATTTTTAGTCACCCAAGAGCGAGCAACTGTGACTGAAAGGCTTGTAATGTTTTCACGTCCCTGGACAGCTGAAATTGTCTGCGATAGAGAAAGTAGAAGACACGGTTCCACACCGCCAAGATGTCGATTCTTCAGAAAATTGCCGATATTGAGTCCGAGGTTTGTTGTTGTATTTGCTAAGAACTACTTTTTGAACGAACTTTCCCTTTCTTAAATATGTAAGTGTTTTATAGACCATAATATGTTTATCTATACCGCTATATGACTCGTTGAGCAGTTGACCAATGTGGTTCATGTTGTAACAGTTAACAGGCTATATATTCTTGGCCTTGGCCCTATTGCTATTGGGACTGAGGGATCACTTGACAGAGATTAATTCTACGACAAGGCTACTGATGGTGAAAAATGCTTTGGGGGAGGGCTGTGGCTCTTCTTGAACTGTTGCATTACTCAAAGATGGCATGGTAGTGGGTTTTGAGTGGGTAATCCCGTCAGCATCGCCATCTGTAGCCCTTGCTTGTCTCTGTTTAGATCTACTGACTTGTTAGATCAAAGTTACTCTGAGCCTACAGGGAGCACCTCTAGCAGCACACCTCTGTGATTGGCCCAAATATAGATCTAGATGAGGTATTTCCGCCACCTGTTTTTCTCGTCTACCACGGTGGGAAGATTGAAGAATAGCGGACCACTCGTATTATTGCGCGAGAATGGGGGCGGAGGAGGGGGGGGGGGGGGTCCACCCTGACACACTTTAAATAACTTTTTATTTATGAACCGATTCTCAAAATTCAAGAAGCATAATTCTTAGAATTGAAAATTCTTTCTTAGGTACCAAAAAAAAAGGGGACAAAAGTGAACATTTAAATTTTCATTGGCATTGCTATACTCTGCTAGCAGAATGAATGGCACATCTCAGTTTTGCAACTTTGCAACTTTTGAGAAAAAGGGAAAAAACTCTTCAACTAGAGTATCATCTAATAATTGATCTAATAAAAATAAAGTGGTAAAATTTGCCACGCAAGTTTCTTTTGTGAGTGCCAGTGCATTTTTGTTTTGATTTGACCAAAAGATAGACATGTAGCACAACCAAACAAAATTAAGAGGTTAGTTGCATCTTGGCACAACTCTGAGCTAGGCCAGAGATGACATGCATGATGAATGAGGTGCCAATTGATTACGAAAAAAAAAATCTTTCAACCTTTCAGACCATGTAATGACGTGTGCATGTGGACTCATAACTTACAGATCATCATTGTCTCGAAAATCTAGATCTAGACGTTGCGATAATCAGCCTGAAGGCTGGGCAAAATCTGAATAATTTGAGAAATCAAAATCCAGATTTTTATATATTCGGAGAATTGGTGCATCTATATATATAGGGCAGGGTAATACTTTTCTTGATCTGATAGAGAGAGATTACCGGGTCTGGGCGCTGAAACTTTCAGACATCACAAAAGAGTTCCCCTACCAGGTCTGTATACTTCGTGACTTTGTTCCCGGTTACAGGGTCTGTATACACTTCGTTGAAGAATACCGGACCAGTGGATTGGGACTACCTTTGCATATATGTCTCGACCTTGAAATTCATGATTTTCCCCAGTTTTAAATATCTCTCAATGAAGAATCTCGGACTGGTAGTTCAATACATTAATTTAAAGTAGCAATGCCAATGAAAATTTAAATTTTCACTTTTGCCCTTTTTTTTTTGGTACCTAAGAAAGAATTTTCAATTCTAAGAATTATGCTTCTTGAATTTTGAGAACTCGGCAAAATATGGATGACCCACATATAGGAAAATACTCCTAAAAAGTGGACCACGCAGTAGCAGATTCTGTAAGAAAATCGACGATATCTCGGTAACTAATCGGAGTGTTCGAGAGAAACTTGGCTACCCGATGTGTTTTTGAGTGTAGAAATCATTTCTGCAGTCAGATTTACTACCAATTTCGTAGTTATTTTGTTATAATTAAAATCGTGGTGTACATATTACGATTTTGCGAAAAAGGGGTGTCGGGATGAGTCCATTTTATTTATAGCATCGTATCACAACATGGGATCTTTGAGAATATATGTCGGCAGCGTGACTAAATAATTGCAAAGCTTTTTATGATGACTTTAGACCATGCCAACCTTAAAAGATAAGTTAATTCAATCTAGCATGCCGTACAATTAAAAATTCTTTTTCCCCGTTGAGACACGAACACCCCGAGACGAGATAACCTCGCCTCGGAATACCCCCATTGCGATGTTACAGGGGAATAGAGAGAAAAACAACCGGATGCGCGCGCCTGCCATTGCCCTATTTCAAGTGACCAATGAACGGGCCCGGAATAGTCATGCGGGGATTTGTAGGTCACATACATTTGCCACGAGAGTGAGGGGAAAATGGCCGGTCTCCGTGCGAAGCCGCTTTGGATAGGGGGGTAGTCGTGTATTTATGATCGGGTCTAAACAACTACTTGACACAGAACGTTCAAATTTGAGCACACTATAGAGGATAGATAGATCTATTACCATCTCGGCGTTGAAATTCAAACTCCTTATAGCTTTCGGTGTACACGATACGAAAGTGTTCCCGACACCAAAAGTATAGGTTAATTTATGTGTACGAACTTCAACGTCCACATATCATTAGTTTGCCCTATTTTCTTATTGGTTGCCGAGTTTCATTCGGATTGGTTCGGAAATAGAGCAGACCGAGGTTGACAAAGTTATTCACCTACGCTTCGGCCGGGTCCGCAAAATCGCCCGTAAACGGGGACCAAATTTTCGCCTCGCGGGAAAGCCCGATTGGTATTGCTACACAGTAATATAATGTACTTGCCTTCATTCTCTTCCTCTTGGATAAAAGTGAATTTGGTTAAAGTTGAATGTGTGTTATAGCTATCACAAATCACAAGGAAAGTTTTCAGTCCCTTTCAACCTGCTTCACACGGTGACTGAAAACAATCTGAAGTTACTTGCTGTTCTTAAATGTTTTGAACATGATCTTGTCATAAATAGGCTACAGTTTAGAAAGATAAGTTATGCTGTTTTAACATTTCAAAATTATTACTGTCTTTATTTTTATATAATATGAAACCCAGTTTTATGTATATTTGCCATGCTTCTGTTGCCAGATGGCTCGGACTCAGAAAAATAAGGCTACCAGTGGCCACTTGGGTCTTCTGAAAGCCAAGTTAGCAAAATTACGTCGAGAACTGATTGAACCAAAAGGAGGTGCTGGCGCCACTGGAGAGGGCTTTGATGTTGCCAAGACTGGAGATGCAAGAATTGGTTTTGTTGGTCAGTGCAAATGGAAATTCACCTCTTTCTGTCTTTCTTACTATATACTCTTTATTATGGAAGTTTTATTGTTTGTGAATGAAAAAAGTAAAGGTATTGTCATTTCTTATTGTATAAATTGTTTTTCTCTTTGTAAATGAATTAAGTGTACTGGGTGTTTTAATCTGAGATATTGTTAGCATTAAAAGATATCTTAGTAGCAGTATAGTTTTAAAAGCTGTTTTATTTTGTTTCTTAGGCTGACACCCATTAACATTTTATGTCCTTTTGTTTTAAATTGTTAGGGGGTTTTGGTCATTAACAGTTACCCATTCCTGTATATGTGGATATATTATAATTAATCTTGTAGAGCCTCCTCGTTAGATGCCTATTGTGTATATGAGGGGGGTTCGATAAGTCTTTGGTCTGGGTATGAAGGAATAATGGTAGAATAATGAAATTTTGCCAGCCTTTAGAACTTTAGACAATTTCTTTATATCACACCATGCGAATTTTCAAGAAAATCAAGACAATGATAAGGCACTAGTCAGCGTGTTCAATGAAATCATGAACAAAAACGTTTGGTTTTTCTTTGCTAAAGCTGTGCCATGGAGCCTGTTGAATATCGCTCAGTTATCAAGTTTTTACACTTGCAAGGAATATCCCCTTCGGACATTTTTCAAGAAATGGTCCAAGTTTATGGTGACAAATGTTCCTCGTTATAATACTGTGACATACTGGGTAAGAAAATTCATGGATTCGTGTTGGTGATGGATGAAGGTCGTGAAGGGCTCCCATCCTTTTGTGGTAACTGAAGAGAAAATATCCATAGTGAAGAAGCTGGTTCTACAAGACCGACATATAACTGTTAAACAGCTCTCAAGTGAAACAGGAATCAGTGTAGGGTCAATTGAAATAATTCTTCATGACCATCTTAACATGAATATAAGGTGTCTGTGCAGTGGATACCCTGCCTTTTGACAGAGCAAAAGAAGCAGAGGGTTGAGTCCTACAAAACTCTCCTTCAAATTGAGTCCAATGACACAAATTTCTTTAAAAACATGATGACTATGGATGAAACATGGATTTATCTTTTGGATCCAGAACAAAAAATTGTCCTTCATGCATTGGAAAACCCCTACTTTTCCCTCACCAAAGAGGGCAAAAGTAACACCGTCAAGTGGAAAGGTCATGCTGTTGTATTTCTGGGATTTATGACTTTATGACTGACTACCTTGAAAATGGAAAAACAGTCACAAGGGACTACTATTCGGGTTTGCAGATAAAATTGCGGTCCAATTTGGTGAGAAAAAGGCGTAGAAAACTCTATAATAGGGTCCTCCTACTGCATGACAATGCCCCTGCGCACAGGGCACAACAAACAGTCCAGACAGCAGAACAGTGCGGCTTTGAAACCCTGCCACACCCAGCTTATTCACCAAACCCAGCCCCTTCAGACTTTTTTCTGTTTCCTAATCTAAAAAAAATCACTAAAGGACATTGTTTCCATGACAAGGAGGATGCCATTGAAGCTGTGGAAGACTGGTTAGGGGCCCATTCTGGGTCATTTTTTTCTCAAGGACTTTTGAAAAGGTCAAAGAGAGGTGGCAGAAATGTGTTACAAGGTGACTATGTAGAGAAATGAAAGTATGTCTGCCAAGTTACAAAGCTCTATCTTTATTCCTTCATATCTAGACCAAAGACTTCTTGGACCCCTTCGTATGTTCCACAGTCATGCTGGAAACCTGGCAGTTTGTTCATGTTCACCATCTCAAGACATGTTTACATCATTATTTGATTTATTTTTTTTTTATATTTTCAGGAGAGTATGTTACTGTATCTTATGCACTTTTCCTCTTATATTTAATTTTTTTTGTACAGTGTTTTTTGTTTTTTTTTTGTTTCTGGCTTCAGGTTTCCCATCAGTTGGAAAGTCTACCCTTCTGAGTAACCTCGCTGGCGTGTACTCGGAAGTGGCAGCCTATGAGTTCACCACTCTCACCACTGTTCCTGGTGTCATTAGGTACAAGGGTGCGAAAATACAGGTTGGTTACTGTCATGTTCATTTCTTTTTTCAAAGTTTGAGACTTCTGGGAAATTGTTTGATGTGGTCTTGCATTGCTCAATCTTTTGTGTGTTATCATGGGATGTGATATGTACGTTAGACGAGGCATTATTCTCTCCTGGTTAGTATTTCTTAGGAGTGGATGTGTTTGCTCTGGGGGATAGTGAAAGCTTTGATGTGGTTTGCTTCTATTCAGCGCCACTTTTATTTATTGTATTCTGGTCTTGGCTAAATGAGAAGGCCGTTATAACTCTCCGTAAACTGCAAGTTCAGAGCAAGAGGAGATAAACCAGAGTCCCATATTTTACAGATGAATCCGGAAATATGGATTTCTGAAATTGAGTGGATTTTAAAAATATTATACTCCTGCTTGAACCTTTATTTATATTTTTTGCATATTAGATTCCATTTTATTTTTTAAATAGCCCCGATACAAGATGCATTAATCAATATGGTCTTTTAATTTTGAGATGTGACAACATGGATATTTGGTTATGATTCATATTTAGGGTTACTTTACTTTTATAATGAATAGATGGGCGGTTGCTTTGAGTTTCAAGACAATTCTTGTAGTAGCAGCATTGGGTCCTGCTGGAAGTTCAGATGTTGCTGGTTGACACTGTTTGTTTCTGTGCTTCCTTGAAATGCCATTCAAGAACAGGCTCTTTGTATTGATTTGATCTTCGAGGAGGGTCAAGTTTGACAAAAATCTTTTCTTTTTTTTTTCCAGCTTCTCGATTTGCCAGGTATTATCGAAGGAGCCAAAGATGGAAAGGGTAGAGGCAAACAGGTTATTGCAGGTAGTGTGGAGCACAAGTGTATTCATCACTCTTCTTATTTGATATTGCCCAGGTGTTCGTATTTATAGATACTGGTGGACCCTGGTGTTTGTTATCTCAACTCACTGGCTACCCATGCAGCATATGACGCATAGTTCTGTTTCTGCTGACTACCTTTGCCGCAACCCCTGCGGTTTTTGAGTTTATAGGGTTTTTTGTTGTTTTTAAACAAAACCAGATGAAAGAAGGAAATCACATTCTGTTTGGTGTATTACAATCTTTGTGTCCATAGTAAGTCTACAAAGTTTCATGACTTTATGTCAGTTAGTTTTGTCACAGTGATTGTTTGCAAAACATATTGAAATACCAAGTACAGTAGTCTCCACCTAAGATCCCGGTGCTCGGACGCAAGGAAATGCGGGATCTTAGGCGAACCAGGATCTTAACCGACAAACCCAGAGAAGAATCTACCGTGACTCATGTTAAGGTTCATAATCGGTAAAATGGTCTCCTTCCACTCTAAAATGAACTGACGTGCCCACTGGGTGGGTTTATGACATATGGCAAGCAAAGAGTTGTTAACCTTGAGGCATGAGGCATGCCATTTTCACTTATTGTCCTATCGTCAGTCTCAAGATCTACGCTTATCCAGTTGCCCCTTCCCTTTACCTGTCAAAAATTTATAGCTTTCCTTCTCTGACCAAGTTCCCTCGCCTTTATCATTGCGCACCTGTACGTTGTGACCACACCAATTAAAATTCAGTCTGTCTCGGAAATTCAGAAGTAGAGACAACTGCTGCAATTGTTAGGGAAGAGTTCACAGTTCGATGTGACCCCGCCTGGACCGAAGTGGTGTAAGTTGAGGGGAGAGCTCAGATGCGAGTGCGATGTTTGGGGAAAACGAACGCGTCAGTCAGTTCACACTTCGGTGTGATCCTGTCTGGGGCAAACATTGCACCGCTTCATCGAGTTTTACAACGCGTATGGGATCACTTTCACGAGAGTGCTTATCTTTGACTGGACGGGCAGTTCATTGATCTCAACTTTCTACTCTTGGTTGATTGGCTGTGCCCGCTCGGGTTTTTGTTCCGCAAATTATGATCTGAAATGCAGGACCTTAGCCGAATGTTGACCTTCAGAATGAGTCAGAGCGGAATCTTAGGGATGACTTTTGTGTAGAAAAACTTTTTTTTCTTAAAACAGCGGGATCTTAGGCAGAGACTACTGTATATGCAGGGTACATCAAAGACAAATATGGCGGTTAGCCAGTGACTGACAGGTGTTACAAAACTTGGGCTCTTTTTTTAATTAGCCATTAGTGTAATTGAGGGTAAGAGATAGGGGTTTGAATGGATGGAATCATCATTCTAAGGCAATAGAGAAAAATATTATGTAAATGTTGCTTGTCTTTCACACTAATTTTAAAGATTGCGTAAACTGTATCATTCGTAAAATTTTAGTACTTAAAAGTACTAAGGCTTCCAAGTTTTTTTAATAATAGGGTTCAAATTTCACATGATATCTTTACAACCATATTGCAATGTTTTGTCAACATCATATAAGCATAGTCTGTTTAGTTTTTTGGAGATAAATTATTTTAGAACCCTCCCCTTAAAAATGTTTGCGTTTTTACGATACAGCACATAAAATAAGCTGCTTGAACAAAACTAATGGAAATATACAGTTTCCGTGTTGACAAAATTTTTGTATTGTAGTAGTTGATGATCTTACCAAATAACAAAGAAATAGCTTGAAAAATAAAAAAAAGCCTTAGGATTTTTTCAACGTCTTAAATTTGTAGGGAACTGTTACATAATATAGCAATGACAATGAAAAATTAAATTTTCATCCGATTTGCTTAAAAATGGGCTTAAATGAAACTAGAGTAAATTCTAAGAACTGTGGTTTTTAAATTTTAAAAATCCATTGATAAATAAAAAAGTTATTGGGATTTTTGTTTGCAAAATGTTGGAGGACCTTCATATAGGAAAAAATCGCCAAAATGTGGGACATGTTTTGATGTATTTTGAGGAAAAACTGTTCATAAGTCAGTAATGAATTGGAACATATGAATGAAACTTGGCATCTCCATGTGATTTTTAGTGCCAAATCTAGTTCTGCTATCACTTTTTCGTTGTCTTCATTACTTTGGATCTTAAAGACTGATATTTGCGTGAAATTTGTTGAATTGCGTGACATCGTTTTTACCGCGACGCGATCACCCCTTCTAAAACTCAGTAAAGCGCTATCGGGAAAACCCGCGATGTAGTCATCGGTGACCCATTTGGTTATAGGCAGCCAATCACATGCCGCCTAGCGATCACGCGCCTCTTGCATGCCGGCACCTCGCGTTTGGAATGCGCGATTAAGTTTCTAGATCTAGTGTTTTATCAATGGGTGGGTGGTAATTTTAAGTTGGTACGGAAAATCTACTAAACGCAGAGATCTGAAATTTTACATCAATAAAGAAGACATGTGGGGCGCTTGTGTGGTCGGCGATCAACCCGCAGCTCCGCTTAGTTTTCGAACCGCAGAGGAAATTCTCACAAACACGGCAATATCTCCGGTTCTAGTAATCGTTCGGGATTGTACGCTGGCATGTCGTTAGTTTAACCTTTCCTCTGGTTGGTTGCCGAGTTTCATTTATTTTCGTCCAGGAGTTTTCCCGTAACTAAACTTAGAAGAGAGTCACTTCTGATTCCGAGCGGCCCAAAAAATACCCCTCGCGCGGAGGCCGATTTCCGGCACAAGGCGCAGCGGGCGATTGGCATTGCTACATAATATGCATCTCGGTTGGTGTTGAATGATGATTTCATCACATTCAAATATCTAACCTTTGCCAATGAACATGCCAAACACAGTGGTTAAACAAAGCATTGTGTATATGGAGAATCAAAAGCGGTGATAGTTTCAATAGCACCTTCCCTTAACTTTTTAACCATGTCTAGACAGTGGCAGCTTCCGGTAGTTGAGGTCCGTAACCATGGCTGGACGAAACCACTGTCCGATGCGAAGTTATTATTGTATTATGGTATGGGCCGAATATAACAAAGTACGAGCTATCAAGCCTTTAATATGACACGGAAGTCAAAGAGAAATGAATTCTTTGTCTGGGTAGCACTTTATTGATCAGTTTGAAGCGAAACAAGCGTTTTAAAAAACGTAATATGTCGTGTCGCATTTCCACAAACACAAGAAAATTACGCGGAAACGTGATTTTTAATTGCATGGTTAAAGAGTTGTAAGTTTTGACATTTTTAGGACATGAGGTGGTGTGTATGTACTTTAAAGTTAAAGGCAAAATAAATTGGCTATAATAACTCTAAAATTCTATTGTTTTTATTACTGCAGATTTATTCTGTCCTACAATATTTTTCTTTCATTTTTTAGAATAGGTAAATGTGACAAGAATAAAATGTTGTGAAGGACAGAGATTTTTTTTTGTTGTTCTTCTGATATACCATCATCATCATTCACCTTTTTCAACCTGGTATTGGGTATAGGCGGCCAAGAAAGCCTTACTTGTATCTTCATAAATGTTTTCTATGGGTGGTTGACGGTTACTCTGGTGTGGTTTGCTCTTTTTTCCTATCAAACATCCATTGTCCTTATCTCTCTTCCAACTTTTTTTTGCGTTTGTTACTCTCTTCTAATCTTCGGCACTTGTTTGACCTGTGTTTTAAAGAGCTGTAAAACACTTATTAAAACCTAAAATAAAAAGTATTCTGATGCGAAGTCTTTGATGTACATTTCCGTCTCTTGGCTTGTTCCAGTGGCGAGAACATGCGGCCTGATCTTCATCGTCCTGGACGTTCTCAAGCCCCTACAACACAAACGTATCATTGAGCGAGAGTTGGAAGGCTTCGGTATCAGATTGAACAAGGAGCCCCCCAACATTCAGTTCAAGAAGAAAGAAAAGGGCGGACTGAATTTAACATCTCTGGTTGGTCTTGTTCATTTTCAATTTCAATTTAGGTTTGTCTTGTTGGGATTTGGTTGTTGTTGTTAGGGTTGTTTGTTTTGTTTTTTGGGGGGGGTGGTGGTGTTGGTTGGTTTGTGTCATTTTTTATTTTATACCCTTTTTTTTTAACTAACGGGGGAAAGGGGGTTGTTTGCTTGATCGTCTCTGATCATTTAATGATGATTCAAGTTATTTATGGCAGTTTTTATTCTGTTCACAGAGTGTGACTTGCTTCTCTATACATACGGGATAGGGGAGAAGAAGAGATTACCCCTCCCCCACCCCACCCCTTGCATACTGTGACACTGTGAGGGGAGGGAGGGCAGGGCTGAGGGGGTGGAGAGAAATTGACCACCGTCAGATGAGCATGGGGCTTGACTTCCTCATGCGTGAAGTGCAATGATCTCATGCTTACTGATTTCAGCTATTTCTGAAACTTTTTACCTCTTTTGTCATTTTTGTTTTTTTACCTATGATACGAGTGAGGGTCAGATTGTGTTGAAAATGGGATTGCTGCTCCTTCTTTCCGATCAAACAGCTGTTGTCCTTTTCTCTTCTTTTTCCTTTTTGTTGGTTTTCTTCTAACACCTCTAATCTTCATTACCTATATGACCTAATTGTGTTGCAAGGGCCATAAAATGCTTACTAATAAAAACACACAGCCTCCGTCCAGAAAACAAACTGGATTTCCCTCCACCCACCCATCAACCCTCTCCCTCCACATAAACATGCCTGATTGTAGCTCTAGTCTAACGGCCACCCCTTGTCTGCTGCATTGCTCAGGTAACGCAAACTGAGTTGGACAACGACCTGGTTAAGACAATTCTCAACGAGTACAAAATCCACAACGCAGATATTACGCTGCGCTACGATGCCACCACAGAGGACCTCATTGACGTGATCGAGGGGAACCGTGTCTACATCCCCTGCATCTACCTCCTCAACAAGATTGATCAGATATCGATAGAGGTAGGCTCCTGGACTTGAGGTCTGGCATTGTGGTCTGTCCTCCTCTTTGTCTTTTTTTTCTTCTTCATTTCCTTCCTCTTCTGTTTCAGCTTTAATGTTTCTTTGTTTATCGGAATTTTTTAGTTTGGTAAGAGTTTAAGGAGATCACAATAACATATAGTCAAATGAGCGGCCATCATCTGTATTTAGAGATTCTATATTAACTATCTCACTTGAGAGTTGAAAGTAGCAAGTGTTGTCTTGCAAAATATGGGCTCAAGTTTTTGTGCTATGCAGTTGTTTGGAAAGTGCCACCATTAGGCCCTACTTTTGTTAATTTCCGCTACCTGGTTTTGTGTATCTGTCTTGCTTTCTTCCTGATCAGTATGCTTCCGGGGAAGTTGAGGTTGTTTCAGAATGCTCTCATGTCTGCTGGAGGGTATTAATATAGATTGTGAAACGCATAGAGCTTGCTGTTGAGCTGGGAATGCTATCTATTATTATTATTGCATCAATGTGCTTCTCTTTATTCGGACCTAAAACTTTTCATACTGTAAGGGAGAAGGGCTTGAGGAATCTCTCAGCTCTGAAAAAGTCCTGCATAAACATTTTGCAGTGTTACAAAGAGACCCTTAAGCCTCAGGAAGATGATGATGGGCTTTATTTTAATCCAGTACAGATTTCAAAAGAGCCATTCCCAGAAAATTGAAATTGCAGCGACTTGTGACATGTACTGCAGGGATGGTGATCTGCTGAAAAGATTCTAAACAGTGATAGTCATCCTTTTTCTTTTCTTTTTTTTCACTTGGGGGGGGGGGGGGTGCAGCCTTCCTCTAATAAATTTAAGAAAGTAAAGAATGACCATCAATGCTTAGAATTTTTTCAGCCATTCATCCCCACATTACATGTGTCACTGCAGTTTTACTTTTCTCGGAATGGCCCAAATATTTGTCTCAAGTAGTGGTGAGAATGATGGTCCAAAATTGTTACAAGAAAACCCCCCAAAAAAGTACATTTAACATCTGCAAAAAACAGTTAAAACTTTTTACTATCTTGGGTTGTTGTGGGGTTGTTGTTTTGTTTGTTTTGGTTTTTTTGGGGGGTACATGAATGTCTCATATCATATGTGTAAAAATGACTAATTGGTATACAGGATGCAATTTTAAAATACCATTGAAAAAAAACAAACTTGAGGCTTATGAATTGCAGTTTTCAAAACTGAATTGTATTTAGTATTTTATCAACAAACCATAAATGTCCCACCAACTATCATTGACCCTCTTCCTGTACTTTTTTGGTTTAAAAAATGTTTTCCTTCTGCCTCTTCCTTCAGGAACTGGACATTATTTACAAGGTCCCCCACTGCGTGCCCATCTCTGCTCATCACAAGTGGAATTTTGACGATTTATTGGAAAAAATGTGGAACTATCTCCAACTTGTGCGAATGTAAGTCATGTCCTTATTGCATGCTCTTTGACTCTGGCAAACTGAAAGGATTTGTCCAGGTTGAAGCATGAGAGAGATCATATGCTAATGTTTTCAGCGTGAACAGACTGGCCTCTGTTGTTGTTTCCCCCTGGCTGACCTTTTCCTGTATCTGTACCTTTTGCATTTCCTAATTTGTTCTGCTCAGTGGATTTTGCGCTTGAACCAACCAGTGGGCAAATACTTTTCAAATGTTAACCTTTACGTTAAGCTTTTTTTTGGTATCATTTCATTATTTGTATTTATCATATATATTGAGGTGGGTGTCTGGAGGGCATCATCGGTAAGTTTAACTTCTTTTCTGTCACTCTGGTGTTTTTCCGTCTTATTTTTTCCCTGCACTGGAGGAGCATTATACTGTGTTGGTGTGTTTCTTTTTACTCAGACTTTCCTGATTGAGCTGCCTCTGACTGTGATGCAGGGCTAATGACGAATTCTTTTTCCATTTTTTTAAAACTTTGCTTTAAATGATTGTCATCGTGTTGATGATGTGTTAACTGAATAGCAGTCATTGTGTGGATTTTCCGAGAAAGATTGTGATGGCCAGTATAAACTCTGGGATCTGGTCAGTCTCTTTTGTGTCCATAATATGAAAGTCACGTTTTGGTGTGCATCGGCCGCTATGGTTGGCAGGTGCTCTGATGTGGTTTGCTCCTTTATTCCTATCAAACATCTATCCGCCTTAACTCTCCTCCCTTTTTTGTGCTTATTACTCTCTTCTAACGTCTCTAATCTTTGACCTTTGCACGACCTAGTTTTCTTGCTAGTGCGGTAAAACTCTTATCAAAACAAACTTTTTGGGGGTACATCAGCCACTATGGTTGCTCGTGGTGCCTGAAGCTGACCCTGTGTTTCTTTTTCTTTCAGCTACACAAAACCCAAAGGACAGCTTCCTGATTACTCGTCCCCTGTGGTGCTGAAGGCAGGCCGCAGTTCTGTGGAGGATTTCTGTAACAAATTGCACAGGAGCATTATCAAAGAGTTCAAAATGTGAGTGCATTCAATTAAGTTTTTCTTCTGCATGTGGTATGAAAATATTTAACAACCTACCAATAATATGACATTTTGGTTGCTATATGAGCCTTTGCCAATAGGTGGGGATTTCTTCATAAACTTTGCAAAATCCTTTCCTATTTCAATAAAAATGGGGCTACCGCTTTGAAATTTGTATAGGTTGTGTTTAATATGATGTTTCAGCTATGGGAGCAGAGAAATAGCAGTCGCGCCATCAGAAGAAATCTTACAAATATTTTTAGCTCTGAAATCGATGTATTTTTAGAATGCAAAACGTGACGTGTCGAGTTCGTACTTTTTTCTGTCGTCAAGTTCAACAATGAAATTATTGCTCAGAAACTCGTCCTTCTACACGTTTTTCATTTCTCTCAGACATAAATATGACAACACAAATGCAAACACAATGGCATTCAGAATTCCTTTTTCTGTGATCCTCACCATTTTATATGCTCTTCATGCTTATGTTTGAAAATTAAAGCAATAGGAAAACTATTAAAATATTTTGTGTGTTCAAATTTTAAAAAATGCGTCATCATAGTTATGTCAGAAAGAATTTGACTTGATGTTACGTAACGCCAGTTATAAGCTTAGCATGCCATCTGCAGGTCTGTAAATACATGTTTTTGTAGAAGAAGATCTACATGAATAGAAAAATTCAGGTAAAAACGAAATATTAAGAACTTAATCATCAACCATCTGTGCTACATTTTAGGTACCCACCTATTGGCGAAAGCTCATATAAGAACAGAAGACCGAAATAGTACATTTTCATCAGTGTGGACATTTATACATATTTTGTCTGTAGATCGATGAGGATTTTTTTGTACAGGGTGAACGTTCATGTTGTGTACACTAGTACAGTCTGTGCGTGGTTTTATGCCAATGGATACTTTGACATGTTGCTGAAAATGTAATCCCTTTCACTTTCAAGACCCCCCCCCCCACACACACACACACCAATTTATCTTTGTTTAATGTATTGAAAGTGCCTTCTGTGTGGCAGTTAAAAGACAATAATTACTGTTGATATTGGGCCTCTGTTGGTTATTAAGTTGAAATGAACTCTGTCGGGCAGCTTATTAAATGAAATATACCATTGTAAAACGAAATTAGTCACTTATTGCCTTTTGGCTTGGAGAAACCTAGACATTTTTTTTGATGAAATGCTATCATGAACACTAATGTTCTTTGACAGGCAGGATGTGCCAGTTTAATGTCCTTTTCTGATGAGATTTATCCAACTAAATGGAGAGCTTTGAAGTCTCCAAACAACTCACATGTTTTAGATTGTCATGCCATTGTCTTGGAACTAAGTTATTAACTGGCCCCTTTGGACATAATGCTATTATGAATGCCTTACTGGAGCTTCTTTGTTGACCACGTTTTTACATGTGGTTTTTAGGGCACCACTGATAGACCCTTCTTCTTTACTTCCCTCTGTTATGTCTTTCTTACTTTTTCTTAGCACAGAATGACTATTAATAATTGTGTGGATGTTCCTCTCTTTACTCAAACAAACAAACCACATGTCTGTTTCAGAGCTCTTGTGTGGGGCTCGTCTGTGAAGCATTGTCCGCAGCGTGTGGGAAAGGAACATGTCCTGAATGACGAGGATGTTGTACAGATCATTAAAAGGTATGAAATTACAGTTGAAATGGTCTACGACGGCCACTCATAGTCAAGGAGTAAAGTGGCCGTCTTAGACAGTTTGATGTCATAAATCTTTCTTGATCTTGGAAAATTGTCATGAGAATTCTATGAAAGCTGGATAAGATCACGGAGGAAGAAACTGAAACTATGATCAAGAATAAGTGAAAGCAGTTGATATTCAACATTCTAACGTGAAATGTATCATTAAGATTGATGTTATCGGATTTGCTTTAAGTCAATGGTGCGATGACAAACTGAATTGTTGTGTAGTGGCAATGGAAAAGGGATCTTGCTTTTAATTTTAAACATTACCATCAAGGAGGAGAAAATGTACTGCGTTTTTATTTTTAAAAAGAACAGAGCAGGTGTTTGAGGTTGCTTCTTGTAGGTTCAAATTCTTTACTTTCCCCCTGTTGTTTCTGTCTGTCTGTCTTGCTTTTTCCCAGCTCGAAATGACCATTATTTTGTCGATGTGCTTCTCTTTGGCCAAATTCAAACAAAATGTTGACTTGTCATTTCAGTGTATGGTTGACAGGTGCTCTGGTGTGGTTTGCTCATTCTTTCCTTTCAAACAACTATCATCTTTATCTCTCCTCCTTTTTTGTGTTTTTTACTCTCTTGTGACACCTCTAATCTTCAGCATTTATATTATGGCCTAATTGTGTGGCAAGTGCCCTAAAACTGTTATTAAAACCCATCGTTTCATTATATATGTATCTGGTCTTGTCCCCAGAGTGTGAAGCTGGATCTATTTCTGCGTCGCTAGTCTGGACTGGATGTATGGAACGTGTGTACTTTCTCTCGCTTGGCCCGTCTGTGGGACGGAAACGCAACTGAGTGGAGACCTTCAAGTCTTGCTGTGACAACTTTTCCAGACCCCTCATCGTCCATTAGAAAGGCTTTAGATTATTTTCATTGGTATTATAATCAGGCTCTCTCTGTGGACTAGAACCTTTCTCGTATCACGTGGATTAAAGTTCAAGACCATGGGCATTGGTTAGTGTGCACATACCTGGTATTTTGAAGAGTTTGATGAGAAGCGTTACAAGTTTCTGTACTGAACCAGCAGTAATTGATCTGAAGGAAAGACTATTGTAAAGACAAGCTGAGTATACAGGTTTTATGGAACAACTAATTTAGCATTCTTCTCATTACTTTTATGAGTTTGACAGCAAAAGAAAGATATTGCAGGCACCTGTTGTGGTGGTCTTTGTCTATCGCACAGGGTAAAATTTCAACAATTCTTCATTGCGGACATCTTTTGAAATTTTCAGGCTGTCATTAGAAAAACTTTGTTACTGGTACCTCCTGTTAAGCAACTTGAGAATGAAAATGAAGTGTAAGAATACATAAGTGATCAGAATTCCTCTTTCTGCGACCTTTCTGTTTTACATGTGGTTGTGAGGTATATGTGGTCGGTTTGTAGTTTTGGCATGCTCTGTTTCTGCTGCCTTCTCTTCAGTGCCACTACTGTCTTCACCTGTCTTCTTCCCCTGTGTCTAACCTGATGGTAATGTCAGTATGTTGGGAATCCCCTGATTCCTTGAATGAATCTGCTGTGTGAAATACCATGGAAGTAGAATGCTGAGTGGGAACTGTCTGCCTGCTTCTCTAATTCGGCATTTAGTTAAAAACATTTTTAGAAAACTGATAGGGATAGTCTGCATAAATTGTTCAAGTCCTTGCGGTACGACGGGTATGAGTACTATGACAATGTGATTTGGTGAGAGGGGAATAAATGGAGGGATGGGGGAGGAGGTTGCTGCGTCTTGTTTTTATTTCTTTTCTTTTAAAAAAAAATCTTATTCCTTCCTTGCTGTGCCCACCCATAAAAAATGTATGACTGAGATGTGAGCTTTTTGTGGTTGGGCTGTCTGGTGTGGTCTGCTTGTTCAACTTCTCTTCTTCCATCGTGTTTTTCTGTCGTCCAAATAATAATTATGTTCCAGGCAGAATATAACTTTCATTATCATGCAGCCTCTCTATAAACATCTCGCCTTGGCTCTTTTGATTTTTTTTTTCTTTCTGTTTTGACATTTTTTCCTTTTCCTCTGGCATGGTAGTGTTAAGTTATTGTAGTGATGGCTTGCTTTTCTTTAACAATGGCTTCTTGACTATTGATAATCTACTGGCTGCAGGGTATAATGAAAAGCATTCTCAAACAAATTTCTCATCCTCTGTCTTGGGCTGAAAGGGGTTTGTCTTTCATTTTGTCTGTGTATGCTATACTATTGATGCAAAATGATGGAATAAAAATAATGTATGTGATGAATCAGCAATTTGGTCATGATTTTGTTATTCTTGTTTTAGTCTGAAATGTGTTCACAAAGATTTGCAGGTGTGTTCTGGTGTGGTTTGCTCCTTCCTACCTATCAAACATTATCCTCTTCTCCCCTCCTTTTTTGTGTACATTATTATCTCGTAACACCTTTAGTCTTCGGCACTTATATGACCTTATTGGGTTGTTAGTGTCATAAAACTTTTCACCATTTTTTTCTCTCTCACTCTCTCTCTCTCTCTCTCTCTCTCTCTCTCTCCTCTCTCTCTCTCTCTCTCTCTCTCTCTCTCTCTCTCTCTCTCTCTCTCTCTCTCTCTCTCTCTCTCTCTCTCGCACACACACACACACACACCTCTCAGACTTGAATACATATTATTTGGTAAAATTCCGATACTAGTAAAATATCGGCAAGAGAATATATAATGTTGATAGATAAGTTAAATTAAGAATACAACAAGTACTTTAAATTGAGGGTAGAGGTCAGTAGCATTTTAAGTATAGTGCGTACAGCAATATTTGGACAGAAACACTATACACATGTATATATATAGTGTGTATAGCAGTATAGCAATTTTTTGACAGATAGACGTATAGCAATATTTTGACAGAAAAACTATACATGTATATAGTGCGTTTAGATTCTAGCAATATTTGTACAGAAGCACTATAATATACAGTGCATATAGCAATATTTTGGAAGAAACGCTATAATATTTAGTGCGTATAGCAATATTTTGAAAGAAACACTATATATAGTGCCTAGAGCAATATTTGGACAGAAACACTATATAGGCCTATAGTGCGTAGAGCAATATTTGGACAGAAACACTATTTTATATATATATATATATATGTATATATATTATATATATATATATTTTATATATATATATATATATATGCATGTGTGTGTATATATATATATATATATATATATATATATATATATATATATATATATATATATGTAGTGCGTATAGACTGCCGAGAATTTACGGGGCGATTGAAAGAAGCTCAGCCCGAGTGATCAAGAGTCGCCTGTCCGATCAGCGAGCAGTAGTGAAAACTTTACACCTCTCAAATGCTATCGTAGCCTTTTGACCATAAATGATTTATTTATAGAGGCACCAACCATCCATGTCCAGGTGCTGTTTTAGCCTTCATAGCCACTCTGATAACAATAATTGCATGCGTCAGTCCTTATCCATTGCCACCAGTGCTTGCATTTAATAGGACCACTGTTTGACCTATTAAAAACAAACGATTGAACATCTCTTTTGCCTCCACCCTTAGCCGAAGTCAGCCCCGCCCATCGGTGTAATAAGCACAGTCAACCAATGCCACCCCTTCCATACAAGTAATAACGATTCGGGGAACTTTGTTCTCGGTTGGGCCGTAGGATCAGGGCGTCAGGCATTGGTCAAACTAATTTCACACCTCTGGCCAATGGCTAGCCAGGAACGTTTCCGGGCAAGAGCGCCATTCGAGCACTTTCACTGGCACTCGTGATATTTCACACCCCCACACCACCCTGACTAGGCTTTCTGATACTAGCATCCTGATCATCTGCATCGCTCAGGGCTCACATGGATAGGTTAACATCTACCTACGTTTACCGTACCCTACGATGTTCCCCTTCTTCGCCTGGCGGTAAGGCGTAAAAGTAAAAGTTTGAGCCAACGGCATTCATTGAGTTGGAGCAGATGTGACCAAACTTGATAGTTTTGTGTCAAGTCAGGGCTGAGCGGGTCAACCACTTTCTCGCGGCATGTCATAAACCCTCAGATGGGAAGGAATTTCTCTTTCGTTTCCTCATTTATGTTTCTGTTTTATAGGGGTAAACATATAGACGAAAATTTCAAGAGTGGCGATTCCGTCGTAACGGGTTTCCGTCTTAGAGAGGCTTCGGTTAAGGCAGGCTCGATTGCATACATACGTGTATATTGTATCAGTTGCTCTGCCCATTGGCATAAACTAGACAATATTAACTTTTTGACTTTGAGGTTGTTCAGATACATGATCGATCATCAGACCAAAGTCTTTGTTTGCGGGATATTTTGAACTCTTATACACAGACTAGAAACACAGATATGCACACATGTATTTCATAGAATGCATATTGTTGCTTGTTTTTTTTAGTTTTTTAAACTTTCAGGTAAAGGAAAAACTATTGAAAAATATGTGTGAACTATGAAGTTATGTCCTATTTAAAACAGCGAGTCTTCAAGCAATGTCGAATGACCAGAAAGAGATACAGTTGGCCCCACTAAAAACGGTCACGGTTATAACTGGAATTCGGCGACAGCAGGCTTAAAATTACAGTTCTTTTATAGTTAGAAGGCATTCGGACAGACATGTTGGGCTGTAACAGTTCTGCAACCGTCGACTAAGTCCTGAAACAGACGGCGAGTGGTTGGAGGACACCACTGGTTAGTCCTACTTCTTTATAGTCCTTCAGTTGTGTCTCTATGTCTGTCTGTATGTCTTACTTTTTCTACAGCACTGAATGACCATTACTGTGTCGATGTGCTCCTCTTTACCCAAACAAACCAAAAGAAACGGACAAGAAAGCAGAAAGAAGCAAAACTGAAGCAAAACAAAATCCGCCCAGTCGAAACTTCTGTTACATCTCTACATATGAACACGGCCCACAATAGGCGTAAGTTGATTGTGTACACATTTTATGATGTGTGCAAGGGGAGGACAGACAGACGCCTGTGTCTCCCCGCGACACCCACCGGTACAAGCGGAAGAATAAAGTAAAGTAAAGTAAGGGGAGGAAAGGGTAGGGTATAGTGTTGAAGCAAGGAGCTTAGAACTTAGTTTACTTTTAATCTCCTTGTGTTGAAGCAAATCCAGTCAGCGACTTAACGTGACCTTTGTCTGGCACCACATCGTCACATTGTCTTCCCATGGGTTAGAGAGACTTGTAATTGTAACGGGAATAACACGTTACATTATTGGATGAAGAGTAGTCACTGGGCGATAGACCTATCGCAGATCAAGCTGTGTGTGAAACAAAAGACCCTACACTACAACAAGGTGATTCACTCCGCCAACCCCCAACAAAAAAACCGTCCACGGCCGTCTGCGCAAATTCTCAGGTGGCGCCACCGGCGATTTGAGGACGCCGTCTTTCTTGCTTTTGTTTTCTTTTGTTTTTGTTTTTAGCTACTCAAAGGGAAGAGTGAATGAACTACAATGTATCTTGAAATACCGCTAGGCTATAGGATCTTGGTGTAAATTCCCACCAACGGTAACGGCTCGATTAGAAATAATTGTAGAGCGCACAGAGTATGCTGTAGGATCCGTGCAAGGAGCTTAGACTCCTTGGATCCGTGGAGCATGGGTATACTATAATGCACTATAATTATGTAAATTGAATGCACAAGGATTTTTATTATTATTCGCTCGTGCATATCAAATTATGTCTAATCAACCTCCCTTTATGAAACTATGAGGGTAAAAAAAAAAGTAAGATAAATATGAGCTCAAAAATATATCCCTGGAAATTGGAAAAGAAAGGAGTAATTACTGATAAATAGGTAGTGATTGGACTATGTAATAGAATGACTCCATTCGTTAATCATTAATTGCAAAATGTCGTGTGTGGGTGGTTGGTGGGTGCTCTGGTGTGGTTTTCTCATTCTTTCCTATCAAATATCTATCATCGTACTTATATATCTCTCATTCTTTTTTTGAGTTCGCTACTCTATTGTAACACCTCTAATCTTCAGCATTATCTATTAAATGACCAATTTATTTTGCAAGTACCATAAAACAAAATGTCGCGTACAGAGGGTGGTGGTCCCTCGTACTGATCACATGGGGGACGTGCTCTTGACTTTTACCCACACTGGAAAAACAAAGATATACATACATAATATGTACATGTACAAAAAGAACAGAAATACATGTACAAACAACCAAAAAAGACTGCTTGATCTCACTTACTCTGCCAACTTTATTTTAAGTTCGGAGGTCAAACATACCATATCTCATTGCAACGCAGTAAAAACTCTGCTACGTCTATATACAGTGTATAGATATCTTGATGACAGAGTATCTTTAGCAGAAAACAAGCGAACAGACTAAGTTACTCCTCGAAATCTAAGGACATACGACACTATCACAACAGGCTAGAGAGGATGACAATACGAATGTCACCCCAGTTCCTCATGTACAATACTTTAGAAAACAACAACAACAACAACAACAACAACAACAACAACAACAACAACGAGAAAGACGACAAATAACAAACAAATAAGAACTATACACCCCCAGCCAACCACTTTGGTTTTCGGACGTATGTTCAGACTAAGCCACATAGCAGCACGCAATAAATAGAAGAATAGAAATCTAATTAAACAAACAAGCAAAAACCCCAAACAAAACAAACAAATAAACTCATAACAAGTAAATGCAATCCTGGTGAACAAACACAGGTCTCGTTTTAAAAAGACAAACAATGTAAATCACAACAGTTTACTAAAATACACAAATGGCTGGGTAGACCCATAATTATTAAGGTATTGGTATTGGCCATAGTACAAATTTCATGTATAAAATATTATTCGCCTGTCGTTAAAGTCTCTAACAGTTTCAGCTCAGGCTTGGAGTAGCCTACCCCTCATCCACAAATTCCCACCACAAAACAGAGGCCAAATATTTTTTGAACCCCCCCCCCCCCCCCCAAGAAACAAACATAAAAAAATGTAAAAGAACAACAACACCGTTACCGCTGACAACCAGAACAACCACAATCTGACCATGGAGAATATTAACGTTTTTCCCCCATACATAAAATGGTTCAGAACGAAAAATAAGGTCTATATATCAACTGTCTACATCATCAATTCATTCATACAAGCATAATTTGTGTAACTGTAATCCTGAACAAGTGGGAACTGTAATTTATTTCAAACTGGCGTCCGGCAGCACAACAAATGGGACAAGTTTGCATACTTAATGTCTATCCCGTCATAATAAAGCATTACACAGAACAAAAAGTTGGAAAAAGGCCAAGCGAGTCTACCACTCACTCAACTAAATGTAGTTACATTATTCACGCCAGCAATCCACATTCAGGGACGCCTTACACACGCAGTCTATAGATATCTAGAAATCTATGTCACTCACAGCGTCTCCGATGCACGTGCATGTACATCATCATAAAAACCATCGTCCTATGCTTCATTTGTTTTATTTACTGCAGCCGAAAAATAACGTAAGGAAACAGCATGGCTCAACATAACTGTTCTAGTTATATAGTCACAATGATTCCTTGTTAGTTGATATGTCACTAACTAGTACCTGTCATCATGGCTGTCTAAGTGTCCGTTCATTGGTGTCCCACTCCTTGTCACAACTGCAGGCTTCCATCTTTCTCGCTCTCAGTTGATATGTCTTAAGCAAACGTTATTTTTAGCTTATCCCCCCCCCCCCCCCCGTTGATTATTTTTCAGCTTGCCACGACCAACGATCATGTGAAACATCTAGAATCTAATTTTTTTAATATTCAATACCTTTGAGTATGAAGCAATCTCGCACTTTATATTAAATATAATCGTCCGGTCATGAATCATAATATTCTTGAGACGGATGCGGAAAATATTCTACGATCTTACTTACACAGTGAACACGGTAGTGGTTGATATGAATTGTATTATTTTTGGCGGTTTGTGTGTGTGTGTGTGTGTGTGTGTGTGTGTGTGTGTGTGTGTGTGTGTGTGTGTGTGTGTGTGTGTGTGTGAGAGAGAGAGAGAGAGAGAGAGAGAGAGAGAGAGAGAGAGAGAGAGAGAGAGAGAGAGAGAGAGAGAGAGTGCATTCGTGAGTGTGTTTGTGTGTTTGTTCTTGGAAACATAATTTGTGTAGAGATACTGGGTAAGGTAGAAATACAATAATTGTATAAGTATAAGTAAGGACTAGAAAATAGAAAACTGGTTTGATATGTTGCACAAGGCACCTTGGCCCTTTGACCTCTCGCTACCACGCCTTTAAAAAATTGCAATTCATTGTAAAAATCACCAATATAATCAAGTACACGTACACCATGTAGAAACATTGGGTCTCCACAGAGTGTCTTGCATCTCCAATACAATCTTAATACATGTACATTGTACCTGCATGTATGTGTCTGTCAGTTGCACGCACAGGGCCACTCTAGTTTTATCTACACTCTGTAGTCTACATTACAAACCACGGCAGTCATAAGGAAACTACACGTCATGCTTCGATGATGAAACCCTGGTACCATACCAGCCGATGCCAGGTTCAGAAAAAGTTACGGGGAAAAACCTCCCCAAGAAAAATACAAAACACGGAGTGTGTCCTATCAAAAGACGATAATTTCCTGCAATGAAGAAAGCAGACAAACGTCAATTCACAGAAAAGAAACAAATTGAACTATATCTGCAAAACAGAAGAAGAAGAAGAAGAAGAAGAAGAAGAAGAAGAAGAAGAAGAAGAAGAAGAAGAAGAAGAAGAAGAAGAAGAAGAAGAAGAAGAAGAAGAAAAAGAAGAAGAAGAAGGAGCAGAAGAATGAGGAGGAGGAGGAGGAGGAGGAGGAGGAGGAGGAGGAGGAGGAGGAGGAGGAGGAGGAGGAGGAATAGGAAGAGGAGGAGGAGGAGGAGGAGGAGGAGGAGGAGGAGGAGGGGGGAGGAGGAGGAGAAGAAGAAGAACAAGAAGAAGAACAAGAAGAAAAAGAAGAAGAAGAACAACAACAACAACAAAAATAACAGTGACAATAAAAATAATAACAATAATGATAGCCATGATAAACATGATAACAACGTCATCATCATTATTAATATCATCCTCATCCCCGTCAAGGAAAAAAACCTCGCAGTACTAATAAAAGAGAGAACAACACAACAAACAAGAGAGTGTCAATGATTACAGCTAGAGTAACCACAAATACAAAAGGCGCAGTTATCCTTTAAGGACTTTGTGTGCACAAACAGTGTAAGTAGTCGTTGTTCATGTGTACTGATGTACCTGGGTACTTTGCATAGATAATAATAATAATAGCATTTATATAGCACATATCCCCGTTCAACAGCAGGCTCTATGCGCTTTACACTATATTATTACCCCAGCTCCGAAACATTCTCAGCTTCCCGGGAAGCATACAGTGCAAGCAGCTGATTAAGCGCTCTAACACTAACAAACTGACAAGATCTTTCGCTGTCTATAGCCGGGTACCCATTCCCACCTGGGTGAAGTGAGGAAAATTCGTGTAAAGTGCCTTTCCCAAGGACACAACGTCGGGCCCCTGACAGGATTCGAACCCACGACCTTCCGGTTGCGAGTCCGAGAGCTTAACCACTAGGCCACCGACGCCACTTAGATCATAAGGCACGGTTAACACAATGATGAAGGCTATACCAACAATACTTACAAAAATAACAGCATCACCTCTTCCCTCTCCCCCATCCATATTTAATTCTAAAAAAAGAAAGAAAACACTCTGCAAAAATTATTTATATAACAACAAACTCCCAACAGCAATGAGTTTTGCTCAAAGGTTGATAAATGTTGATTCAAACAATTTCTACCTCTGAGCTCTCACGGTCATTTTTGAATTAAACAAAAAAGAAGAAAAGTAGACAACATAGATTACACACTAAAACTAAAACAGAAAATAGACACTCAAAAAAAAAAGAAAAGAATTTTTTTCTTTCGAATAGCAAGTGCTGCAACATCAGCTGACATCAATGCCCAAACTGATACATATTATGTACAGTTTTGAGTGGGATAAGGATATTACATGTATATTATGGAATATCTCCTGCGTATCACATTCTTGTAATTTTTATTTTGTAAAAGCTGCATTGTATGCAAAGCTCTTGAAGCTAGTCTCTTAAAATTACAGTTTAAAGTACAGACATACGACAATTTCTTTTCAAAGAAAAAATAAGGAACTAATAATTTATAAAACGTCGTTAAAATTGACCGCTTCCCTAAAAAAACAAAAACCAACACAATCATAAGACGAAGAAAACCCGCCCAACCCCAAACAACTTCTCTTTGAATCCAAATTGTGACATTGTACGATTTTCACATCAAATAAAAATAGTATTATTATCTGTAAAATGAAAAAAAGTATAGATCTATAGTGAAATTGTCAGCTTTTAGGAAATATTTTATAATAATATGGCACCCCAAGTTCTTCACAAAATTTTGACAAGTTTAAAAATGGTTCCTATACAGTGGTCCGTCCTCATTGAGATTTTTTCTCTTCCTCCGCAGTGGCCTCCCCTGCCTCTTCCGCGTTGGGCGTGGCCTCAGGCTCGTCTTCCGGCATGAGGGCGTCACCCTCGAAGCCGCACAGGTGAGCGCTGACGTTCCACAGACGACTGGACAATTCTTTGTTCGCTTTTACCTTCTCGTTGGTCTTCACAGCCTTGCAGTCCGTGAACAGCTTGCCTGGTGGGCAGGGAAAAAAAGACATACACACACACTGTACTCACATAAAACTAACAACGTAAATTGTGCTTTTAGTTTGCTTGTTTGAGTTATTATTATCATACCAAGCCCATTCAAACACATCAAATTAATTCAATCTTTTGAAAAACTCACCGATGATAGCAGAAGAAGCATCTCCAGAACGACCTAATACGTCTTAAAATTCAACAAATTAAAAAGGTGTTACTATAATATCATTTGTATATTAGAGGTGATGAACAACAAAAACAACAACAACAACAATAGCAACTATAGCAACAACAACAACAACAACAACAACAAAAATAAAAATAAAACAAAACATGCGCCCCGAAATAAATAAATAAATAAATAAACACATTAGGCCCTATCAACAAAAGTATGTTCTTCACCCTATCCCCCCTATCTTCCGCCCCCTCTTCAATTAAAAAAAACTCAACATTAACCAAAAGCAAACAAACAAGCACTCCCCCCCCCCTTTCCCAAGCAAAAACACAACAACAATAACAAAAAGTCAAATAAAGCAAAAAAAACAAAAACAACAAGAAACAAACGACAAACAAAGAGAACAAAGTCAGACCCCTCACCGGAGAACTCTCGGAGTCCGTCAGCCACAGCAAGGTAGACCAAGGTCTGACATCCGTCCTCTGGGGGTTTGAACATGATCCTTGACACCAGGCGGAGAGCGTTTCCCCACATACCAGGGTAGTTCCTCAGCAGATCCGTGGCAGTGGGACCTGCCGGGCACACGTTTGTGTATTGGAACAGGGTACTAATTTTGATTTACATCTCTAGAAAACGACGGGCTCATAATTATTGTGAACGTATGCAGTTGCAAGAGCCGTAAAACTTTGAACAAACACTCAACAGCTTTTACAAAAGGTACATAATTTGTAATTGAAAGGTTATCGTACAGCGTAATACATAAACGCTGAGCAGTTTTTCAAGGCAAGGAAAGATTCTTAGTAAAACTCGGCAAGACTATATTTCCGACAAACAAGATCCACTTTTTAAAAATTTCCCTCTTTTGCTGTTGTCTAGCTCAAATTCCCGCTCTACAGCAAGCTCTATGCGCTTCCCAATCTATAATATTACCCCAGCAGACCTGATAGCATTCTGAAACAAACTCAACTTCTTGGGAAGCATACAACTGACGTTTTACAGGCGTAAAAAAACGAACATGCTGATAAGACCTTTCGCTGTCTCATGACTGAGCTCATTCACAGTTGGGTCAAATGAAGAAAATTTGTGCAAAGTGCAGCAAACTGCCTTTCCCAAGGATGCACCGTCGTACCTGAGCCTCGAACCCCCAACCTGCAACGAATCTGGTAGCCTAACCACTAGACTACGGACGCCACAAGAAGACTACTGTACCTGGGTGGGCGGCAAAGGACCAGACACAGTTGCCGATGTAGCGCTTGTGGCACTCAAGGTTGAACATGACCTGAGCCAATTTGGAGCGCGTGTAAGCGGAGTAAACGCTGTAACCCTTGTTCATGGCAAGGTCGTCAAGGTCGAGCTCTCCCTGCTTGTAGGAGTCGGACACCACGTTGATGATGCGGGAAGGAGCGTTCTTCTTCAGCTGAGGACAGTGATGATGATGATGGTGATGATGATGATGATCATCATCATGATGATGATGATGATGGTGATGATGATGATGGTGATGATGATGATGATGATGA